GCTGCACCAGCTTGCATTCCCACTAACAGTGTAAGAAGGTTCCTCTTTCTCCCCTCATCCTTGTCGTTTCCTGACTTGTTAATTTTAGCCATTCTGACCAGCGTGAGGTGGTATCTCATTGAGGTTTTGATTTGTATTTCCTTGATGCCGAGTGCTGTTGAGCATTTTTTCATCTGTCTATTGCAGAAATGTCTGTTCATGTCTTCTGCCCATTTCTTGATTGGATTACTTGTTCTTTGGGTGTTGAGTTTGATAAGTTCTTTATAGATTTTGGATACTAGCCCTTTATCTGATATGTCATTTGCATATATCTTCTCCCATTCTATCAGTTGTCTTTTGGTTTTGTCAACTGTTTCCTTTGCTGTGCAGAGCTTTTTATCTTGATGAAGTCCCAATAGTTCATTTTTGTCCTTGGTTCCCTTGCCTTTGGAGACGTGTCAAGCTCAGAGTACTTTTAACCAGTAATCCAGGAGATTCTGATACATATTCAGGTTTGCAGCCATAATCTAAACAGCAGTTATCAAACAGTGGTGTGTGGACTCCCAGAGGTGCCTAACACTTTTTTACCAGGCCTGTGAGTTCAAAACTATTTGTGATAATATGTCATTTTTGCACCAGTGGCACAAAGGTAATGGTGGGTAATACTGATGGTACGTTGGCAGAAATCAAGGCGGTGGCACCAGATTTGCAGTTGTCATTGTATTACTCACAGCAGTAATATAATGCGAATGTCATTTAAGAAGCTCAGTGATGAAGCAGTAAAGATATTAGATCTCTACCTTTGAGTACACACATTTGTTTAACATTTCATGTGATGAAATGGGAAGTACATGGAAAGCACATCTGCATACTCAAATGTTAAGGTCTGTCTCAAGGAAAATGGTCTTGTGAGATTGAGTTGGGAGCTGAACTTCACTTACTTGACAGAGTGACTGACAAACTGGATGTTCTGACATGGGTATTTGGCAGACATTTTCTCAAATGAGCCAAGAAAACAACTGTGACTATATTTGTTGTCAGTGATAAAATTTAAGATTTCAAAAGCAAAAATTAGAGTTAAGGAAACTTAACTCTAATGGTGTAGCCACCATTGTGAACTTGATCACTTCTCATTACCTAAAAACTTTTTAATGAGATTTTTTTTTCACATTATGACATAATGGAGAGAATATTTTATTTTTTAAATTTTATTTTAATTCCAGTGTAGTTAACATAGCGTTATATTAGTGTCAAGTGTACTAGAGTCCTTCAGCAATTCCATATATTACTCTGTGCTCATCAAGATAAGTGTACTCTTAATTCCCTTTACATATTCCCCCACCAGCACCTCCCTTGTGACCATCCATTTGTTCTTTATAATTAAGGATCTAGGTTTTTTTGGTTTGTCTTTTTACCCCTTTGTTCATTTGTTTCTTAAATTCCATATATGAGTGAAATCATAAGGTATTTGTCTTTCTCTGACTGGCTTATTTCACTTAACATTATACTCCCTAGATCCATCCATGTTGTTGGCAAGGATTTCATTCTTTTTTAGGGCTGAATAATATTCCATGGTATATATGTACCACATCTTCTTTATCCATTCTTCTATCGATGGACACATGGACTGCTTCCATAATTCGGCTATTGTAAATAATGCTGCAGTAAACATATAGGGGGGTATATATATCCCTTCAAATTAGTGTTCTTTGGGTAAATACCAAGTGGTGTGCTTACTAGATCATATGGTAATTTTATTTTTAATTTTTTGAGGATCCTCCATACTGTTTTCCACAGGGCCTGCACCGGTTTGCATTCCCACTAACAGTGCATGAGGGTTCCTGTTTATCCATGTCCTCACCAACACTTGTTTCTGTGTTGGTGATTTTAGCCATTCTGATTGGTGTGAGGTGGTATCTCATTTTATTTATTTATGTACGTGTATTTGTATGTATGTATATGTGTATGTAATCTCTACACCCAGCATGGGGCTCAAACTCACAACCCCAAGATCAAGAGTCACATGCCCTTCTGACTGAGCCAGCCAGGTACCCCTCATTGTAGTTTTGATGTGCATTTCCTTGATGAGTGATGTTGAGCATCTTTTCATGTGTCTGTTGGCCATCTGTATGTCTTCTTTTGAGAAAGGTCTGTTCATGTCTTCTGCCTGTTTTTTAATTGGATTATTTGTGTTTTGGGTGTTGAGCTGTATAAGCTCTTTATATATTTTAGACACCAACCCTTTATCAGATATGTCATTTGCAAATATCTTCTCCCATTCAATAGCTTGTCTTTTAGTTTTGTTGATTTTTTCCTTTCCTGTGCTGAAGCTTTTCATTTTGATGTAGTCCCAGTAGTTCATTTTTGCTTTTTTTCCCCTTGCCTCAGGGGACCTATCTAGAAAGCTGTTGTTACAGCCGATGTCAGAAAAATTATTACCTGTGCTCTTTCCTAGGAATTTTATGGTTTGAGGTCTCACATTTAGGACCTTAAGCCATTTTGAGTTTATTTTTGTCTATGGTGTAAGAAAGTGGTCCAGTTAGTTTCATTCTTTTGCAGATAGCTGTCCAGTTTTCCCAGCACCATTTGTTGAAGGGACTTTTTCCCCCACTGCATATTCCTGCCTTCTTTGTTGAAGATTAATTGACCATACAATTTTGGGTCTATTTCTGGGCTTTCTATTCTGTTCCACTGATCTGTGTCTATTCTTAAGCCAGTACCATACTATTTTGATTACAACAGTTTTGTAGTATAACTTGAAATCCGGAATTGTGATACCTCCGGCTTTGTTTTTCTTTTTCAAGATTCCTTTGGCTATCTGTGGTCATTCGTGGTTCTGTAACAAATTTTAGGATTGTTTGTTCTAGTTCTGTGAAAAATGCTGTTGATATTTTGATAGGGATTGCATTAAATCTGTAGATTGCTTTGGGTAGTATGGACATTTTAACAATATTTGTTCTTCCAATACATGAGCATGGGAATGTCTTTCCATTTGTTTGTGTCATCTTCAATTTCTATAATGGAGAGAATTTGATAAAGTGAAAAATTTTTAAATTTGTAAGATCTGCATAACTTACTGAACCAATATTTTCCAAATGACCACTGAAGGATTCATTCAGTCCAAGGTATATCCCAGCAGATTTAATGTAACAGAGTATAAAATGTTCATGGTGGTTGTTTCAGTTTGCATATTTCAACTGTAAGCATCACAAAGCAGGGTATTGGAGGGTAGGTTTGAAGCCAAGAGATCAAAACTTAATAAACTGATACAGAAATAGTCATAATAATGGGATAAGTACAGGAAGACAACTACTAAGTGCCTTAAATAGTGGTGGAAGTCTTCATAGAAAGGATATTTTACCTAGACCTTTTACATAGAAAAGATATTTACCTCTAATGTATAAGAACTTACTAAAAGAATGGGAAGAGGTCTCACCTGAGTGGCCCAGTCGTTAAGCGTCTGCCTTCGGCTCAGGTCATGGTCCCAGGGTCCTGGGATCAAGCCCCGCATCGGGCTCCCTGCTCCACGGGAAGCCTGCTTCTCCCTCTCCCACTCCCCTTGCTTGTGTTCCCTCTCTTGCTCTGTCTCTCTCTGTCAAATAAATAAACAAAATCTTAAAAAAAAAAAAGAATGTGAAGAAAGGTGTTCTAGGCAAGGGAATAGTATGTGCATGGAAGTATGAAAACAGGTGGCACAGAGTACTTGAAGGCCTATATGCCCATATGCCAGACAGGGTAAGGAAGACATAAAGATTGATTCACCTAGGCCTGACATAATCAATTTGCTTGTTATGGTTAATGTAAATACATTCTCTTGATATACAGCTGGTTAAGATTGAAGGTAACATTAGGTGTAATATATGTACTGTAATCTGAAGACAGTGATTTTGGTGGTCTTGGATTCTGTGCACTTAATCTACTCATACTAATTCTATGAACTGGGTAGGTTGATAATCCTGTGTGACTCAGTTTCCTTATTTGTAAAATGGGGATAAGAATAGCACCCACTCTAAATGTTCTAGGCTCTTTACAGTGCCCAGCCTGTAGCAAACTGTCAAATGTTAGCGGTGAAGAGAGGCAAGTTTCCTCCTGGGTGTCTAGAGGTGGCTATAGAGGAAGGGGTTTGAGTTCTGTGTCCAACTGAGTGCTGCTTCCAGCTCTCCGTTTTACACTTGACCTTCTTCTGCTGGCAAAGTCTTAACCTGCCTATGATAAAACATGAAATTATTTCTGTAACTGGCATTAATGTATTGTACTTTTCACATACTTTAAAATTATTTCAGGGGTGCCTGGGTGGCTCAGTTGGTTAAGCATCCAAGTCTTGATTTCGGCTTGGGTCGTGATCTCAGTGTCATGAGATGAGCCCCACGACAGGCTCTGTGTTGGGCATGGAGCCTGCTTGGGATTCTCTTTCTCCCTCTGCCCCTCCCCATGCTTGCTTGTGTGCACTCTCTCTAAAAAAATAAATAAATAAAATTATTTTGGATTGTGCTTTTGTATAAGCTTATAAAATAGCTTTGATTTCCTTTTGTAGTTTCTAAATTTACCTTAACACAAATTTGTAGATAACATTTGAAAAAAATCTGCTGATCTTAAGTATTTTAAGTATCCTCTGGCTCTTTTTAAAAAATTCTTTTCGGTATCTACATACTGTTTTCCTCTGTTATGCCACACTTCTCCAAAGCAGTATGCCATATGTTAATGTCAAGTGATACGGCTTAAAATTGGTTTGAATCTCAGCTTTTGAAATACGTTTTATATCTTTATTATAGACATTACAGGGACAATACAAACTTGAATCATGTTTGCTGTTTCTGTGACTGATAGCTTTTTTATTAATAATTGCCTTTCTCTTGTTGGAAGAAGTCTATTAGGGGTTCTGAGAGAACTGTTGGTAATTATTCTGCAGTTTTTCTCTTGCATGGAATTTGATGTCTATAATGTACTCCCTTAACTTCCCAAGGTCTACGTCCTTAGTACAGGGGCCTGCATAATAATGAGGGCTTTTACTTCTTTTTCAGATTATTTCTGATGAAAAAACTTAAGGAAGTAACAGATAAAAAGAAAACTAGTCTCATGAAAAACATAGATGAGAAACTAACAGAAGCAGCCAGAGAACTGGGGTACCCACTGGAACAGAGAACCATGAAGATGAAACAGAGAGATAAGAAAGTATGGTTTAAATCTGTTAGTCTCAGACTGTTTTGCTACCTAATAGGATTTTTTCCTCTCTTGATTCCTTCCCACCTACACCTTATCCTTCTCTCCTGCCCCATCCTGAGGAGAGCTAGATGTCACCCGTCAGGGGCTCCCTCCAGGGCTGTCCAGCCTCTGGATTGCTAGAAGGATGGCATCGGAGCAGGGCTTGGGTGGCTCTCATAAGTTGTTAGGCAGGCTGAGGCACGCGAGCAGATAGCGCTGCTCTGGCTGCTAGCTCATGCCAGGACTTCCCACTCTTTTCATCTTGTTTTACCAGTTATTCATCTCATAGAATTGAGTGAAAGCAGCTTTGTGCATAGTATTTACCTAAATTTCTTGAATAGCTAAGGATGGTTGATTTAGCGCAAGGTGTTTTGGGGGAGTAGTTTTGTGAAGGTATGCCTTAGAGTGGTTTAGTTAAGGGCTTTAAAGGTAATTCCCTTTTGGAAGACAGTGTGTATTGAGATTTGCTCACTTTCTGCAGCAAATGTGTGTCTAAGCAGTCCTGTCTCCTTTTCCCTTATTGGTCCCATTAGCATTTCCTTTTGCATCTCTCCTAACACCTGCATTGTGAGTGGAGTGTATTATAAACAGCAAAGACTTCTGGGTCTTGGATCCTTTTGGATCTGAAGTTAAAAATTTCAGAATAAGTTGACAGACAACATAGGAGAATTCTGCTTTGGGGTAAATGAGAATTCTATAGGATTTTGTTCTTATAACCTCTGGTAAAGAAGGATATTTATCAGTGTGCAATGAGAGCACTCCAGTTTCCAACCATTATCAGCTGTGGCTGGTTCATCTGAAAGTTCTAGGCCAAATTAAGTACTAGTTATTCCTGGATAAACTGACACTGGTAACTAAGTAGTTTTGTGTATTTGGTTATTGAAAATCCTACTTCAGCCGCAGGCATGATAATCACATAAGTTATAGTCACTAAACTGCAGTCTCAGCAAGTGTTCCTTTAGTCCTAGAGGCCAGAAATAATTTCTAAAACTGCATTTGAATGAATGTCACTTCAGTGGGGACATTTTTAAATTACTTCAAGATGTTATGTTGCCATTTACCTTCCTAGTTTCCACAGGGAGCCTCTCCCACCTAATGAGCCATTTCTTGCCTCATACTTATCTATTCCTAATTTATCTTGACTAAATACTGTACTTCTGTAGACAGAATAGCTGATAACAAATTCTTTCATCAGAACCTTATTTTATTTTTCTACCATCAATTATAATTTCAGATGAGATTTCCTTAATTCTTCCCCATAACTAGAAGATGACATTGGAGTTTAAATTTCATAGGTATGTTTATCCTAGCTCCCTTCCCCATGAGGTTTCTTTTTAGTACATATTTTTTTCCGTTCACAAAATTAACTGGTAAAAACATAAATATAAAGAGAAAAAAAAAACCTTAAAAGACAACTGTGATTTTATCCTCCCAAAGACAACCGGTTGGTGATTTTGCTTTTTGTTCCTTTTCTATTAAAAAGGAAGTTTGTTCTTTTATTGTCGGATATTCATTTAATTCTTACTTTTCTAGTTCCGAAAAATTCAGTTCCATTCGTATATTAGTTAGTGACTTTGTCCTTACGTAGGAGAGTAATATATCCATTCTCGTATAATAGTGCACTATATAATATGCGAGAAACAATTGTTTTTATACTGTTGATACCTTATGGTGTTTTGGAATGCAAAGCCCTTACGAGTTACCTCATTCAACCTCTACAACAAACCCTCAAACAAAGGAGGAATTATTATCCTGTATCATAGATCAGTAAATCAGGGTTTACAGAGGCTTTGTTCCTTGTTTAAAATCATAAGTGACCTGAAACCTAAATTCACATGTTTGGTATTTAGCTTTCTTTCCACTCCATCTTACCTATTGGCCGTATGCCACTTTACCCTTTTTTTATACCTAGATTTCATGTTTAAAAATGAACACTGATTTAATGTTGCTATAAAATGAGGATACATCCTTCCATCATTTCATCCTCTGATTCTGGTGCCTCAGTATATCCCCCACCCTTGCACAGGGTTTTCCTAAATTTGTAATTCTATTATTCATAATAAAACTAGGATTCTGGTGCTTTGCTAATAATTGCTACCTCTTTATGGAAAATTAGTGCAGTTAATCATCTGTGAAAAATATGAAAATAGGGACATCCCATGGTTTTGTTGTGTGTCAGCCTGAGTGGAAGAGAAAATAAGCCAGTAACTGGATGTTTTTTCTCTCATTATCAATACTGTTTTATGACCTGCTTTTTTATGCTTGTGATTATGATTATCATTTCATATTGCTAAATTGAAGACCCACCTCATAAATTTTAGAATGGCAGCAGAGCACTATTCTATGTTCATAGCTTAGGTTGCTTAAAATTTTTCACAAAGACAAATCCTGCCACATAGAACTTTCTATACCTTTCTTTGCACACTTATTTATTTCCTTAGAAGAAATTACTAGATGTAGTATTGCCAGGTCCAGAGTGATTTAGAGTGGCTGTGTATGTTGTTTTTTTTGCTGGTTTTTCATTTTGTGGAGTTTTTTATTTTCTTTGTTTGCAAAACTCCCTGTCTGAGTGAAGCTAGTTTACGTTCCCACCAGCAACGATTGAGTGCCTGTTCTCCCCATACCTTTGCCACTACTAACTAGGTATTAGCAGTCCCTTTTGGTCTTTTCCACTTGCATAAATGTAAAATGATAAGTCATTGTTTTAATTAGCATTTCTTTGATTATAAAGGACATTAAATATTTTTCACTTATCTACTGGCCATTTGTATTTCTTTGGTGAACTGTCTCAAGTTTGGCCATTTTTCGGTCAGGGTTAGAATTCACCTTTTCTTATTTGTGTTTTAAGTTGGGTGTTTTTTCCTTGTAAGACTCCTTTATAGTTTAAAGACATTAATCTTATTTTTATTGTTATGTATATTGCAGATATTTTTTATCAGTATCTTTTGTTCTTGATTTTTATTTGATTTTTTAAAATTTTACGTAGTCAAGTCTGTCTTTTCCTTTTCCAATCTAAAATTATTAAAAATATTTGCCTTCTAGAGGTTTCATTGGTTTTATTTTTACATTTAATCCTGACATCCAACTGCAAATTACTTTGTTATAAAGAGTAAGATATAACTATGACTTTGTTTTTTCCAAATGGTGAGCTGTTATCTGAGAACTTATTTTGAATAATCTGTCCCTTCTCTTACTTACGAAAGAATGAAAGAAGCAAGAGATTAGGGTCATCTGAGTGAAACAGATTTTAAGATCTAGAGACTTAGGACCGCGCCTGGGTGGCTCAGATGGTTAAGCGTCTGCCTTCGGCTCAGGTCATGATCCCAGGGTCCTGGGATTGAGCCCCACATCGGGCTCCTGGCTCAGCGGGGAGCCTGCTTCTTCCTCTCCCTCTGCCTCTCTCCCTGCTCATGCTCTCTCTCTCTGTGTATCTCTGTGTCTCAAATGAATAAATAAAATCTTTAAAAAAAATCTAGAGACTTAGGTGAGAAGACTAAAATGAAGAGCTAATTTTGGGCTTGTGTCCATCTTCTGTCTTGGCAGTTTTCACTGGGCTGCACCAATAAGCATAATATCTGAAGTAGTTGTTTTGTTAAGGAAAGACCTAAGAATAATACCACTACTGTGAATAAAAAGAATGTAGACTGGAAGGGTTATGGTGGTGGTTGTGGTTGGGCCTGTTCTTGCCTTTGAAGATTACCACTATAAAAGATCACTGGTTATGTTATTTTGCTTCTGTAAAGGGCACCACAAAACTGGAAACTGCCCTACTTTGGGGAAATTTGCAAAAACAAGCCTGAATTTTTCAAGTAAAAATGGAGGCCCTGAACTTGGCAAGATGGATGAGAGGAATTCTGTCCGGTGGCATTTTCCTGCTAACAAAAACTATTCCTTGACCTTTTAGGCTCAGTTCCTTATGCTTCCTACCTAGAAAATACAGTGACCTAAGAGAAAACTTAAATTCTGGCTTGCCTCATATAATAGGATGCATTAGCATTCTTCCTTCCCAAATCAGGGTGTGGACTTCTGCCTGAGTGCAATTAGTAAAAGCCAGTTTCACTGTTCTATCATTTCTTCATGTGCTTAACCTTTACTGATTTTGAAGAAATAATATTAAACTTTGGTGGTGGACTCCAGGTTGAATGAAATGTCATTAAATGTTACATTTTGACATAAATGTTGAGGGTTTGTGTGTGTACATTTATTTTGGAGAGTTTGTTGTTTGTTGATTTTATCTATCTACCATGTCTATTTTGTCTGTTTACCAATAGTTGTATTTATTTTTTTTATTTAGGTTGTGACAAAGACCTTTCATGGTGCAGGCTTGGTTGTCCCAGTAGATAAAAATGATGTTGGGTACAGAGAGCTCCCTGAAACGGATGGTAATGTATTTCTTATGTAAATGTATGAGGAAGGTTTTCCTTGTATTGAGAAGTAGGTAAGTAAGTATGCCTTTCGTGAGACAGTCACTAGATCTTAGGGATAAAGAGCAAGCTCAAGTTTTAGGATCAATCAGGCCTGAATTAAAACTAGGTTTATAGCTGTGTAACCTTAAGCAAATTACTTAACCTTACTGGTAAACCTTGTCTTTTTCATCTCTAAAATGGTTAATAATGGTGAGTACCATTCATATATAGGGATGTTTGGAGTGTAAAGAGTATGTAAGGTTCTTAGCACAGTGCTTGCCTAATAGGGCTCAAAATATGGTAATTTTAAGAGTTTAAAGAATTTTAACCTATTGCCTGGGTTACTTTTTCTGAACTATTTCAGACATTTGACATTATAGTCAACTTACAAAATAATTCTTGAAATAGTGTGTGGTTATCTAGTCCTTTGTGAAAATTTCTTCATCTGTATGTAAGACTGCTTAGCTTTCAGAAGCCCAAGATCCTGAACTACTTCATTTACAAGTACAAAAACTCTGAAAATGGACTGTTTATATACAAAATCTAATTATTGCTATTTTGACAAAAGAGGGGAAAAAATCACTTCTTAACTCTTTCCCCTCTCCTTTTTATTCCCTTCTTACTTGGAACATCCCTATTGGCATTCTCTTATATATTATCCTTTTCCAAGAAGGATAAAATTTAGAAGGAAATCAAAATTAGCACTTCCTCAAGAACCAAGTATTCCTGCCCAAACACATATAATATTGGTCATCCATTTTTCAGAACAGAACTAACCAGCCTTGGTTGTTAGTCTCTGGGGTTGGAACCTAGAAATCTGCATTTTTTTAACCAGTTTTCTAAAGCAGCTGTTCTCAAACTTCGTTGTACAGAGTCTCCAGCCAAGATTGGTATCTTAAATCACAACTATTCATGTGTAACTGTTTTTGCTGTACCCCTGCCATTTTAGAGGAGTTCCATGGGAAAAGTAAATATGGCCATGAATGGCTACAGAGCACTTCGTATGTGGCTAGTGCAATTGAGCTGAATTTGTAATTTTGATTTTAATTCATTTAACTTTAAAAACTGAAACTTAAATTTTTTTTAATATTAATTACATGTTGAAATGCTATGTGGATATAATGGGTTGTTAAATACCTTCAAATTAGTTTCACATATTTCTTTAATACAGCTACCAGAAAAAACTTAATTACATAGGTAGCCTACATACAGGACATACATACAGGACAGTCTAATCTGTCCTGTATCTCCTCTCTGAAGTCAGAGGTAGTCAGTCTCTAATGGGGAACGAGTATAGGCTCCAGCTCTTTCCTGTTCAGTCTTCTGCCTGTGTGTTAGTGCACTCGAAGCTTTATAAAGCAGATTTACTGTCTTGTCTGGGAAAGTCTGAGAACATTGTTGCAGATCTAGGGTGGTAGGTATTAAGTTGTCATACCCTGGAGTAAACCTTATTACCCTCCCCTGGTTGTGGGTCTTTATTTTTATGTCTAAAATCATTTTTATTTCTCTCTCCTTTTGCTAACATTCTAGATACCAGATCCTTCTGTGGTTTAATTATTTTTGACTGAGAAGTGCAGCAAGGCGTAAAGTTAGGGACCTAATATCATCTTGCTTTTGCCTAGTGTTGTTTGCCAGAAAGTACAGTTGACCTGCAGTTTGTTAATGTGCAACAGTGTTCGGTAAATCACAGGGTAGTTTGTTCATAACCAGTTTCCCCTTTGAAACTTGGAACATAACATTCCAACCTGGCAAATAAGATACCATTTATTAAGCAGTTCATAAATGTCGTAATAAATTATATCAAGTGATATTTATACAGTAACACTCCCCCCACTCTTTAAAGTAGGTTTTATTCCCTTTTCAGGTGGAAACTGGATCTCAAACTTAGGTCTTTCTGACTGTGGAGTGCTTACCACTAACTAAAGAATAATTGCTTAGCTAGTTGCCCAACTTTAACTTTGGCACAATCACTATGGCTTAGCTTAAGTATTCCAGTTGGTGGTAGTAGAAGAATAAAATACGAACCAAGTATTGAAGCTCCTAAATCATTGTTTTGAATAGTAACATTTAAGGCAGCATTTTTGAGTGTTAATTTAAGGCTTCACTTAGGTATCAAGTTTGGACTTCTGTTAAAGTGAATTTTCGTGGAAGTTTTTATTGGTGGAAGAACATATTTTTCCTCACACTGGTGGTGAACTGAATATTTTCGTCTCTGTTTAGTATTTTGATAGCTTAGTAATTGTTGTAAATTGCTTATTCTTTTGTAGTCCATATATGACTTACCTGGAGTGAAAGTAGAAGACATCAGAAAGTGATAAACTTTAAATTACTTGCTAACAGAAGACAACTAGGTCTTCACTTCCATGCCAACTCTAATTGAATTGTAGGGGCTGCCAGCAGCACTGTGGTGAGAGAGATTCTAAGGGTCTCAATCGATGTTATATCTTCTCTGGGTGCAAGAAGGAACCCCTTATTTTCTATTACCTTAAGGTTTTTTGATGGAGGCTGGATATGTTTCCTTTAAATGATTGGCACTGATTTTTTTCTGAAAAGGAAGCTTATGAAGTTTGTATAAATAAACTCTTTTTAAAAAGTTTCAAACCGGGGCGCCTGGGTGGCTCAGTTGGTTAAGCGACTGCCTTCGGCTCAGGTCATGATCCTGGAGTCCCGGGATCGAGTCCCACATCTGGCTCCCTGCTCAGTGGGGGGTCTGCTTCTCCCTTTGACCCTCCTCCCTCTCCTGCTCTCTGTCTCTCATTCTCTCTCTCTCAAATAAATAAGTAAAATCTTAAAAAAAAAAAAAAAAGTTTCAAACCAATAAATGCGTCACCACTATTTATAGGCAGGAACATAGGTGATAAGTGTAATTTGTTCAGTGCGATATTTATCTACCAAAGGTGGGAAAAGGAACAAAATACATTTGGTGACCTCACAGAGAGTATGCATTCGGTGCAGTCGTCACAACTGAATCAAATATATTCATATTCAGAGGTTAAAAGCCCTAGTATTTCTTTACCACTCTTGATAATCTTAGGTCTGTAGTTAGTATCAACAGAATATTGTGCCTTATACATTAAAACTTAAAAGTCATGTATCATTCTTAGGTGTAATTGTTAATGTTCTAATGAATCTTCCTCTCCCCCCCAGTACAGCAGCCACTTAGTTCAGAAATGTATTTTTGTTGGCTTGTTTGAATAATATCCATTATTTTTATTACTGGATTATCCTTAGGGCAGTAGTTTGTCAAAAAGGAGGTACAATTTGTCAAAAAGGAAGTCTAATTAGATAGTGTTAAGTACCTTCATATGCATCCTGAGATCTGATGCACACCGGCATCCAGAAAGGAGAGGAGGGGAAAATGTTGAAAGCCAAAATGAAAATGTTAAACCACCGGCTTTTTAAATTTAGAGATTAGGAATTTTCTCTGTGTTCTCACATCAAATTACACTTTTGCTGTGGCCACACTTTGGTAAAGGTTTAATTCGGCAATGATTTCTTATTTCTTATATTGCCTTTCTCTCTGCCTCTAAGAACAGGTAGGACAGGGCAATAAAGAATAAACATTATGGTCTGTTTTGGGTTTTTTTTTTTAAATCCAGCTCCTAACATGGACTGGCCCAGAGGTGGGCTATGTATGGTCTCTGTTGCCATTTTTTTTTTTTTTCCCCCAACGAGCTAAAATGGAAAAACATTCTTAGTGTGAGGGCAGTTAAAAACAGGGTGTGTCAGGTTTGGCCACAGTTTGTTGATCCGTGGACTAGCCTACTAAAAATCTTTAAAAGCTTATGTATAATCATGATTGCAACTAGATCCATGGTAAAATAGTCACAATTTGCTGATATAAAAATCTTTTTTGTTAAACCACTTTTCTTAAATTATAAAATTGCCATTCTAAATTATAGTGCCACCCAAGGTGGCATTTGTTGTACTAGTATAAAAATTGATGAGGAAAATCCAGCTTAATTATCTTTTTACCTTTGATGATGGGTGCAGATCATCTTTTATATCCTTGGTTTCTTACAGCCAACCTCAAGAGAATTTGCAAGACAATTGTTGAGGCACCAAGTGATGAGGACAGACTAAAAGCTTTTGCTCCCATTCAGGAAATGATGACCTTTGTGCAGTTTGCTAATGATGAATGTGATTATGGTATGGGGCTTGAGCTGGGAATGGATCTCTTTTGTTACGGCTCACACGTGAGTAAAAAAAAACTACCTCCCAACAGTCACCAAACCCTGCTCTTCCCCACCACACTCCACATACAGGCATACTAGAGCATGCACATTTATGTCCCCACTAGCGTGGGTAGGATATAAATTCGGCTTGTGTGTCAAAATGAATTTTTTTTTCCCAAAATGAACTTTTTGATAAGCAGATGTCTGAAAATATTTATTTGAAATTCATCTTGTATTCTACCAAAGGTGACTAACCAAGGTTATTTGCCTTCAGGTTACATTAAAGTGAATTTACTTATTAGATGTATTCTAGGGCTATATGCTGTTAGTTAGATATGTGTATGGCTACGTACACATACCTTTCGTAGGACTGTTTGAGTGCATCTGCGGTGAGGCCGGAGTCTGCGTTTGACCTGCTCCTGGGTGCTGGTAACACTGCTGCTCTATAGACCAGTGTGAGCGGCAAGACTAAACCAGCGGCGCTCTGACCTCAGCAGGTATCACCACAACGTGGAGGGCTGTTCAGACACAGCTTGGGGTACTTACCCCTACGCCCCCCACCCTCCAAGCTTTGATCGAGTTCTTGGGTGAGTCTTAGACCCGTCACAGGTCAGGCTGATGCCACTGGTCAGGGGCGTCTGTTTTGAGAACTCCGCTCCAAACCCTATCACTGTGTTTCTTTGCCTACCTTATATATGGTTATTAGTAAAAATAATCACAAGTGTTTAACAGCCAGAATAACAGTCATTGGCCAATCAGAATAATGCTGGGCCTGCCAAAAAAATGTTTATCAACTTAATTGAAAATGATTGGTGTGAGTACTAAACAACATATGAAAAGGTTTAGCACAGTACTGAGCATCTGGTAAGTGCTAACTGCATCAACGGAAGCATTGCCAGGTTCTCTTCGAGTATATATGTAATAGCAGTAGTCTAAGTCACTTGATAAACCCAAGGCAGTGACTTAAGGGATGGACCAGGGTTACATGGTGGGGTCAGGGAGAGAGAATTTGAAGATAAAGGGGAATAAATGTGATTTGAAAACTCAAATTCAGCATACCGTTTCATATAGTATCAACTAAGGAAAATAATGATTAAAATCTTAACTGGTAGGGATACACTAAAGAAGGAAAGAACATTTGAGCGTATAGTTTGGGGCAAGTAAAAAGGACGATGATCCTTACCTAAGGGAATAAGGAAGCTTAAAATTTTAACTCCATTTTCTTCTGAATTTTCTTCAAGATGTACCATTAGTCTTTTAGTACTACAAGGTTGCCTCTTGAACAGAATGCTAAATGCCTGTGTGAATTCACTGTTCCTAGCCAATTGAGAAAGTAGCTAAAATGATTTGGAGAGTATGCTTTGTTAAACAAGAGCTTTTTCAGTGTGTTTTTTGCTACTTACTAGGGCATCTGCTATATTCTCTGCTTAATGTTATATTCTTTTATTTTTCAGTATTTTCATAAAGTTGCTGGCCAGCTTTTACCTCTTGCATATAATCTGTTGAAGAGGAATCTCTTTGCAGAAATTATTGAAGATCATTTGGCAAACAGAAGTAAAGAGAACATAGACCAACTTGCAGCATGAATGAGAGTTGGCTTTGTTTCGGTGTATAATATTTTAAAGCATTAGTATTAAACTTGTGATTTGTTTTTAAGGAATACAGAAAATAAATTGATGGAAATATTTACTAAAAACGTTTATAAAGCTCTTCTAACCCTTTTCTTTCATGTGCAGATAAATGGCAGTCATCTAAATGGTGATGCCCTAATCACATCTGAAAGACAACCAAAGTCCTCTGACATGTCACAGGAAGTCACGGTCTACTGCCCGTGGATAACTAGACTATTCTCTCATCAGGGAGCCCTGTTTCAATATTGAACATATGGACAACTAAAAATTTATTTCCTCAGACTTGAGTTAATAATAGCTATAGCTCTAAGGACTGGATTTGTGGGCGGTGGGGAGGGCATAGGGGAAGTAAACTTGGGAGGTGCCTGACCCCAGAGGTACCAAAGTTACTTTTTAACAATATCTCCAGATGATACATATGTAGTCCAGGTACCTATTAGGTATATTCTTTAAAACAATTCTTTGACTCACTGTATTTGAACTAATCAGTATAGCATAGAATATTGATATACAGTATAGTATACTAATCAGTATACCATTAATTTAAAGTTTACTACTGCAAACCAGATTCACATCCTCAAGCCTGAAAAAAATGTCCTTCCCCTTAAAAACAGAGCGCAAACCATGAAATGTAAAATAGCCAACTCTGCAGATTGGGCTGAAGAGCATATAAGCCATTTCCCCTTTGTATGAAGTTCAAGGTAAAAAAGCCCTTAGGTCATCTTGTAACCCCCACGTTTTGCAGAAGATTGACTTGCCTTACCCAAAGAACTTTTGTTGAATTGTCAGTCTCCAGTGTCACTTATCCTGTCAGCTGTCTTCTTAAAATAGTTTGAGATACTCTGATACTTACTCTTTTTGATATAAAGTATGAGTAGACTATTTGCAAACACTTCCCGCCAGGATTTTTAATACAAGCAGCTTGTCTTTAAGCTGCAGGTTTTTTAAGAACATGTATTTTATCAGTATGTATCCCCCCTCAGTAACACAAACCTTTGAGTATGTATTTATTTGTTGGACAAAATGACCCTATTCCATGCTGCTCACTAAGTGCCTGATAAAATCACACTAGCAAGATTTGGGAAACTATTTTGAGATGCCCTTAAGGTAAGAATTCTTGACTTCTCAGACAATAGAATGTCTTCTGAGGTCAAAAATCTCCTCTGCTTTTACAGCCTATACCTAGTATCTATTCTCATTCCCATGGCCCAGGCTGCCTTTGTAGGTCATTAAGATGCTTTCTTCAAGAGATGTTTTATATAATAGCTTAGCCAAACTAAACTGAAAACATCCTTTTACCTTCCCTTTCATTACTGTACTGGAACTTTCATAGTTCTGATGGGGAGGTCTCAGGAGGTTTTAAGAAACTGCCACATTTCAGTGTGTAAGCATCTGCAGGTCCTGGCCCCATCTGAACTAAGCTGTAAGATGACAGGAACATTAGCTCACACATACTTTGATTAGAAAAGGTGACCAAATCACATTGGATCTTAAATAATTGAACATTTTATAAGCTCCTGAGCCTTTTTCCTCAGATTTCCTTAGTTTCTAAGGTACCTAATATTAGGGGCAGTATTCAGAAATAGTTAACATATATCTTTTAAATTAACATATATTAACATATATCTTTTAAATATCTAAAAAAATATTCAAATCAGCTATCTTAAATCAATCTTCTTAGCTAGAAATATTAGCCATTTAATAAATTCTGCCATTCCTTGATCCAACAGTTTCAAATACAGTTTGTAGTTTTTTTTTTTAAATATGCCTTGTGATCAGTAATACAGATTCTAACAGGACTTCTTATCAAGGAACAAATTAAAATGAAGGGGGACAAAAAAAAGATCAGCTTTTCATCCTTTGCTTATACAAACCTAACATGAATGTGTATTTTCAGAACGCCAGGCGTTGCGTAACAGCAAAGATTGAATTGGATACCAATGCCAAGAATATGGCCATTATCATCTGGATACTGTAGTTGCGGATTTCCAGTCTCAAACTGGAAAGTTGTGTCAGAGGGCTGGAAACAGGTTTCAGGAGGTACTCACCTTCCAACTACTGGAACATTTTTCATTAAAGAGCAAGCTCCTTACAATACAATACCAAACTTCTCTTTCTCTTTCCTTCACTGAAGCACAGTCCGCTAACCTAGTTTGCTGAATATTTTTATCTACCGAGGATGTGGCCATCCAATGGCTATAGTCGCTTCCAAGCACCACCTATCTACTTCTGTTCTCAGAACACGTTCTAAATGCCTAGACTCCCAAATGAAGTACCTTAACTCGGTAAGAATCTAACAGAAAATCACTACTCGAATTTAGCTAAGCTCATTCCTGGAGCTTAATAATGGGGTATAATCTCTCAAACACACATGTGGAAAGATACACCCAAGGGAAAAAATGAAAGCTATAAAACTTAATCCAAGGTAGTGCTACATATTACGTCACCACAATGACAGATACCCGCTATCTATGCAGATGATCCTGATACCCTAAACCCACAGTTTATTCAGTATCTAGACCAAGGGTCAACAAACGTGCTGAGGGCCAAATCTGACCCACTTGTTTTTGTCAGCGGGAAGCCTGCTTCTCCCTCTCCCACTCCCCCTACTTGTGTTCCCTCTCTCGCTGTCTCTCTCTGTGAAAATAAAATCTTAAAAAAAAAAAAAAACTGTATGGAGAAACAGCCACACCTGTTCATTTGCGTATTATGTGGGCCTACAACGGCAGAGTAGTTGCAGCAGATTGTTATGGCCCCCAAAGCCTAAAATATTTGCTATCTGGCACTTCACAGTGGAAAATTTGCTGACTCCTGATCTAGATGGTCCCCCTCTTTAGCTATCAACTCCAAAGTCACACCCTAGACCTTGTCAGCACCAATAATGCAAACCCCCTCCCTAATCTCAGTTTCAAGCATCCTACTGTCCAAAATATCACCACCCGTCTTTTCCTCTCTCTTTCTCTAGTCCCCAGCTCCACCCAGTTTTCAAACCCACCGTAGCCTACACCAATTCACTGATCTAACAGCCTTTTTCACTATTCTTCACTTGGTATTCTTGCTTCCCTCTTCACCCAGCCCTTGTATTCCACTCTCCATCATTATGATCACTCCCTCATCTACCCCACTGCCCCTCTCCCCATTAGCTGTACTTACGTTAGAAACTTAAGCCTGATAAAAAGCTGCCTACTCCTACTTCTGCTCAGTATCAGGTGGCTGGGGGAAAAAATACAACCATGACAACTGGTCTTGTATTTTTGTTTGTTTATTTTTTTTATTTTTATTTATTTGACAGAGAGAGACACAGCGAGAGAGGGAACACAAGCAGGGAGAGTGGGAGAGGGAGAAGCAGGCTCCCCGCAGAGCAGGGAGCCCGATGCGGGGCTCGATCCCAGGACCCTGGGATCATGACCCGAGCCGAAGGCAGACGCTTAACCGACTGAGCCACCCAGGCGCCCCGACAACTGGTCTTGTTTTAACCTCAAGTTGGTCATACTACTGCCCATTAATCCTACTACTTTCACATCTTTCCTCAAACATGCAACAGTACCTCCCAGCCCTCAGTTTATTTCACTAAGAAAAAACAAAGTAACTTCCCCAAAATCTCACCCCACACTACCAACTACCCAATATACTCTGCCTCTTCCACATTGCTATAAATGTTGCTTAATGTCCCAAGAGGCCATCCCCTCTTGCCTACTCAAAGACCTCTCTCTCTCTTCAAATCAGTTTTCCCTCTCCAATATTCCTATCAACAATAAAAGCTGTAATATCCTGCATCCTAAAACAAAATACTCTCTTTCACGCATCCAGTTTCTGGAAAACTCAGCAAGAGTTGAAATAGTTGCCTTTTGGGGCGCCTGGGTGGCTCAGTTGGTTAAGCACCTGCCTTGGGCTCAGGTCATGATCCCAGGCTCCTGGGATGGAGCCCCGTATGGGGCTCCCTGCTCAGCAGGAAGGCTGCTTCTCCCTCTCTCTCTGCCCATTCCCCGCCCCTGCTCATGCTCTCTCAAATATATAAAATCTTAAAAAAAAAAAAAAAAATAGCTGCCTTCAATTCCTTTCATCAATCTCTGTCAAACCCACTCCAATCAGACTTTTGCCTGATCTGAGCCTGCTTTGATCAAAGTTATCCATTATCTCCCACTGGGCAACTTTCAATCCCCATTTACTTCACTGATCCTCCATGAAACTATTATTCACGCCTTATGGGACCACCTTTCTCTTAAAGGCACCAATCTTCACCCTACCTCACTGGTTGCTCCCTCTTCTGCTGGCGCCTCATCTCCTCAAATCTAAATATACATGTATGTCAATGCTCAGTCCACTCTGTTCACTGGCTCAGGATGATACCTCCCAGATGTTTTAGGTCTCTTAGGCTGGACCTTCCTCCTGAACTTGAGTCTCGGTATATATAACTGCCTACTTGACATCCCCACTTGGAAGTCGAAAAGTCATTTAAAACTTAATGTCTTAAAACCAAAATTCCTCTGTACACAACCTCAAATCTGGTCTTCCTGAAGTCATTCCCAGTTCAGTCAGTGGCCATTGGGAACATCTTTTACTCCTCTTGTATCACTCCACATTCGATCCATTAGCAAATCCTGCCTCTGCCACCTCCAAAATGTCTAGAATCCAGCACTTGAACGACCTCCACCACCCGAGTCAGGTTCAAGCATCTATCATATCTTACCTTGATTATTCCGAGAGCCTTCTAATTGGTCTCCCTCCATCCACCCCTTCCCCATTATAGTCTATCCCCTACAAAGCAGCCAGAGATCACGTTAAGTCAGATCATGTCACTTTTCTGCCACACTGGCTTCCCATTTTATTCAGAATAAAAGTCAAACGACTATATCCCTAACTTCTTTCCTCCTCTTACACCCTACTCCCCACTCCAGCCACAGTGACGTACTTGGTATTCCTTGTACCTGTCAGGTGTATCCCTCCTCAGGATATTTGCATATACTATTTCCTCTTCTTAGAACATTCTTCTCACAGATAACTGTATCATTCCCTTACTTTTTTTAGGATTCTGCTCAAATGTCACCTTATCCCTGAGGCCATCTATAAAAAATAGCATCCTCCCGATTACTGATTTTTTGGGAATTTTTGCCTGATTTATGTATGCTGTAACAGTGTGTGGCACACTTTCAAAAAAAGAAAAATCTGCTGAACTAAATAACTTGTGATATGTATCACCATCTGACATACCATATATGTCTCTGTCCCTACTGGAATGTAAGCTTCAGGAACACAGCGCAGTGCCTATCACACAGTAAGTATTCAATAAAAACTCAGTGAAGGATCGAATGAAATGAATGATAAATAAAATCTATTACAGACTTTTTAGTCAAGTGTCTTTTACTAAGAGTTTAATATTACACTACTGAAATCTTTTAACAATTCAAATGTTACCACCTTCATTTAGGCAGTTCTATTAGCAAATGTACAAAGTAAAATTTAAAAAAACATGTAGGGGCGCCTGGGTGGCTCAGTCGGTTAAGCGGTTGACTCTTGGTTTCAGCTCAGGTCATGATCTCAGTCAGGGTCCTGAGATCGAGCCCCAGGTTAGACTCCACGCTCAGTGCAGTCGGCCTGAGATTCTCTCTACCTCTCCCCCTGCCCCTTCCGCTCTCTAAAGTAAATAAATCAATCTAAAAAAAAAATGTAAATCATTTACATGTTTTATCTTCATGCCAACAGCGTAATTTTTCTTTTTGAAAGTAAACTGAAGTGAAATCTTTCTGTAAACCTCCAAGTTGCACTGACAAATGGAGACTCCCTACTACTGCTGGTAGTATTTATATCCTGCTGTTCAATCCAGCATCTATTCCTTTGTGGCCCCTCGTCTGCAAAGTATAGAAATGGCTTTGTAACCTGAGAGAAACATTGTATTTGTCACCCCTTTGAGGCTGGCATGTGCCAGGCATATTGGCCTACACTGCATAGGGCAGCAGCAGAAGTGGGAGGACTCTTACAGATATAATTAAAGGCCAAACCACACATTGTCATATAGATTTTAATAGATTTTCTGATTAACTCATCACAGTAATCATTTTTACTGTAATGATATGCAGCTTTACTACACTAGTATAAATAAAAACAGATAAATACAGCTCTAGGCAACATCACAGATTAACAAACTAAGCATTCTTCATGAACCAAAACTGAAAACAATTATTAGTAAGAGATGCTGACACCCTTGCCCATTCTCATCATACCTTCTCAAAAAGGGTACTCCAATAAGGCGCTCCACTTATTATATTGGTCAATTAATTTGCCAATTAGCCAGGCACATATATTTCATGGTCTCCACTATTTCATCGTTTGGTTGAAAAGCAGACACACCTCAATATATCAAAAAGAAAAGTGGAACAGGTAGTACTACTGAAGAAAACCAGTGAATGCATTAGAAATACAACACTTTTCCTGTATTTTAGCAGTAAGACACATCAAGGGATAGAAATATACCAGGAAGAAAATTAATATCCACCTTGAATATCCACCCTGAAATGTCGGTCTGTGAGGCAGGATGAGCAATGAAAGGAGGACGTGAAATCAAAAAGGAAACATGGAAAATAAAATCCATGTGACATTTAATGTTACGAAGCTATCTGCAAAGAAGCTGGTTTCTCCTTTGAAGGCTTGTAACTCAAGACAAGCTATTCAGTAGCCAATGCTGAGGAGTTCACACTGCAGATACACTTAGGACAAGATGAAGATAAGATACATAGAAGTATAATTTAGAAAAGATTTCACTCTGTATGGCCAAATGAGCTTCATTGAAGGGGTTACTAAGAAAGCTTGAAGTCTGCCAAAGGGAGCAAGTAAACTAGGACAAAATACCAATTTTAGGCAGATAGCAAAATGAAGAAATGTTTCATGAAGTTCCTAAAATGTTGTTCAACTTTTAATTGTCATTCTAATATGGCTTCATGATCTAATAAAAGCTTCAAGATATTACGGATATATTATTTTTAAGAACTAGGAAGTGAAGAATCACTTCCAAAATGTAAAAACGGCTCATTGCCAGTTATGTTTCAGAAAATGTCTGTCTGCAAAATTCATTTCCTACCAAAAATGCATAAGCCCAGATTATATAGGCCAGTCCTTCAAGTAAACTGCCTTTGCTGATAGTGAATTAAGACCATGATTAAGACAGACATTTCCAAAAACAAAAATTCCAAACACACCCCAGTACATTTTCAACTCATCCTGCAAAAATGTGCACTGTGGATATTCAAAACATTAACTGAACACTTATGGATGTGATGTACCCAAAGATTCAAAGGTTATGTTCAGATTAAAATTTTAACTGCTACCTTTGCAATTGTTTTCATTTGCTTGATTTTTTTTTTTTTTTAAGGTTAACACTATTTGACTTTTGGTTTTAATCTGCAAAGTGATTTGTTGTGTTTTAACTTTCTAGTTAATGAGTCAAAATGTACAGAATACATAATCCAGAGGATGGCAGTGAAAGATCGGAAAAAGGTTTATGTACACACTGGATCACAGACAAATAACCACAACCTCTTTTTAAACCCTTGTTCCCAGTGTAAACTTTGTTCATATCTCCATATTTGTAAGTCTGAATTAGTCTATAAAAATCACATTAAAAAGGTAAAATTATTTAAGCACGATATTAACTGATCTGTATTTTATAAATTTTAATCCATAAAAATATAAATAAGAATGGTAAATTTTTAAGAAAAGAAATATACATTTAGTGCAAGTTATGAATTACATTTCTTCTTCAGTGTCAGCAATAAAATATCTTGAGGAAAGAAAAAAAAATGACTGATCTAATTTCAAGAAAAAAAATTCCAGTGTTTAAACATGCAATTAATACCAGATACAGCTAAACAGAATACTTCCTTCTCTTTACTGTCAAAGCAGCAGCATTTTGTTTCCTTATGCTGAACAGTACTTGTCTATTATAGTAGTTTTAGAATAGAATAGAAAATTTGCATAAGACCAGGTCACATTATCCATAAAGTCTGAGAGGAAAAAAACAAAAAGAAAACTGTTTATCCTTACAAGTCAAGGTTCATTGTTGTTGATTCTGAACCACAATGCACACAAGCTGAGAGATTTCCTTCACGCTTCCTTCGAGATTTTACCCATTTGATTGGCCTTTGTTGTGGTGCATGTGACCGCTCCAAGCATTTAGTGATGGTACCAACTGCATGGCTAATGGCACAAGAAACACTCCCTTCTTGTGATGAAACTTCGGTAAAATCACAGTACATCTCAATATGAGAAAGGACTGTTTCAAAAGGGTACACCAGTTTAAAGAGGCTTTGCCACAGCTCAAGAGAGAAAGAGAGAGAGAGAGAGGGAGGGAGAAAGAAAAAGAAACGCTCTTCTGGAATGTAGAAAGATAATGCTTAACTATATCATTCGTGAATTAAACAGAACAGTTTTGATACAAAAGGGCAAGACCTTGCTGTCTTATAGATGGCTCAATTCAAAGTAATTCCTCCAGAAACAGGGACTGCTATTGCTGCGATGCTGGAGAAACAGGCCAGGTGCTCCAGCTGGTCCGAGGACTCCACGGCCGCGGCGCCCTCTCCGCTGATGCTCCCGCCTGCACTACCACGCACATCCTCAGCTGAATGCATCCAGTGCAGAACAACAGGAGACGATTTGCTGCTCTCAGTTAGAAGGGGAAATACCTCACTCACTTCCTTCTCGCTCCTTTCCCTCCCCAAACAATTCCTCCATTCCACCAGCCGTATTTGCAAACCGTGTTGCAAAAGCCTGGCTTTTAGATTTCTTGTCTTTCTTTTTTTAAAGGAGAAATAAAAGTAGACGACTCCCTCGGGTTAAAGAGTTGTGCTATTCAACAAATGAACTTCCTCTTCTGTTTCCTCTCTCTCCTCATCTATAGGATTCAGTTGAACATTATTGAAGCGGGGTCTTGGTTTGCCGTCTGGGCCATATGACGGAGGATATCTTTTTTTGTTATAATGCCAAGGAGGCGCCTGAAAGGAATAAACAGAAGATTGCTATTAAAATAAAAGGGAAAAGAAAAGCAAAGCTAACTCTATAGCTAAACCCTTTTTGTTGACAGGAATAGAGCAAAGCAAGCACCGTGATTTTGCATTTTCAAAAAGTATTTTATTGGTAAAGATAATTAAATTATCCAGCAACCATCCTTTGATATGAAAGTATCATGGTCACTAATAGTACGATGTCCTTTCCACCAAGACTCTGAGGACTGCACGCCTCACTGAAGTAGAGGTACTTCGATTCATGTATGCCAACAAAAAAGTAAAACAAAATGGGAGGATGTGTGAACAAGAAATGATACTGATCCCATTTGAGAAGGAAAAGTCATTGCCAGGACATCAAGAAAGCAGTAAAATGTCTGATGACCAAATCTCCTCAATATTCCATTTTTTTAAAACCAAATTTAACCAACTTTAAAAAAATAACTTAAGGATTGCCCAGTTGTATGCAGAATCTTCATGAAAGCACATACAATTGAGATAAAATGGTCAACAAAGAACTCCAATCCCAAACTTCAGAGCCCAGAGAATAAATCTGTAAGACAACCCAAGTTTCTAGTACACTCATCAATGTTTTCCTCTTTTGCTTTTGGCCGAAAAAGTTAAGATACAGTGCTTTTATGAAAGTCTTGGTTGTTAATGCTTACGGTGAAAAAATCAAGAAGCAGTCCTAAAAGATTATTATAGGTGAAGCAGAAAGCAGAATGAATGAGTAGCTACTTATTATTCTGGTTAGTAGTTTTTTAAAAAAGGATGCATGAAACACTTGTGAAATATTAGCATACAACAGAAATACATAATCAGTTGTGTACTTAAGCAAACTGGGACAGGTTTTATATAGGTATGACAATTACAGGGCAAAATAATTTCAGGCATTAATTGCTAAAGCCAGACAATTTTTAGGTTATAAGGTAAGATAATTCAAAATTTATCTTTAGCCATGAAACCACTAGGACATAAAGCCAGTTAAAACAAATGCATTTGACCCCAAAAGCTGCTCACAGCATTCTGGAAACATCAAACAAAAGGGGCACACACATAATCTAGGTACAGTTCACTAATGAAATGGCAGGACACACATTCTTGACTGTGAAGGTATGCAAGGTATAGCAGAAAAAGAACTAATGCTATGATCACAAATATATACAACATTACGCTCTAGTTAGTGTGCCCATAAAAAAATCTGTTTAACATTCAGCAATTCTAACATTGCTAAGCTCGGTTAAAATCATTTATGAGCTTAGATTTACCACAAGACTACCACAAGATTAGGAAACATAAAAAAGAAAAAGGGTTTTGGGGGTGGGGGACAGACATTTTCCACCAGTCAGTCACCTTCTGAAACCGGTGTATCAACTAAGGTAGACACACTTGTGTTTAAGAACATCCAATAATATTTACTCATTTAATTATCAAACTGTTTATAGTTCTTAAATTGCAACCAATGATTTTGATGAGAGACATTAACTTTTGCTAACTTCCTGTGAATGGAATCTTACAAATATCTAAATTTATCTTACAGACATAGTTTATGAGATATAAATGTAATTGGCAGCATGTAGGATTTTTTTTTATTCAGCAGATATCTGGGACAGACAGAACTGAACAGTTCACAAGTTTCATGCTTCCTGACTTCTAAGGTGTCTAATGAGGAGATCTCATATATCTAATCACCAAGGGTTCGACGTGCTGCTTTAGTTGCTCGAGATGCTCTAATATGTTCTTCTTTGTGATGATCCCCAAGACAATCCTGAAACAGATCATGTTATGCTAATAACTGTGAGAAATTAAATTAAAAGAGGTTCCAATCATAATGATAAAGGAGAGAAAAAAATAAAAAACATGAACCATAAGAATGCTTTTAATGAACTTTAGAAAAATAAAAACAAAAATGATTTGAAACCCCAGGCCCCATTTGCATAACTTCTACTGACTTTCATAAGAGACATGATACTATTTTTAAATATAGGTGAGTTGTTTTCCTTTTTAAATTAAAAATCAAAATTATAAAAGTTTGCAATGAAAATGACTATAAAGAAAAGTACAAAAGAAACAATACACAGCTATAAACCTCTAAAATTTAGTTTCATTTTCAGTGTCCCTTCATCAGGGGAAAGTATTTTTCTAATTTCTAAAATGTTAACAATGCAGCTGCTATTATTTGGATCTACCTCAGCAGTGAAAAGGTAGAAAGAAGGCTTAGCCTCAATTGCCTATGAGGAGACTTAAGAAATCCCGCGGGTTTTACTACTACTTGGGATTAAAATGAAAGGTAATGTGCACTTAAATAAATAATGCCAACCAATACACACACCCCCTAATTTTCAGGACATGCTGAAAGCTACTTCTTAAAATAAGCTAGTAAGATGTATTTATAATTAGAGGTCAAAATGTCTTTTACATTATGCATGTTTTTTTCTAAATGATTATTTTTCAGTTAATCTATCACTATTATAATATCAAGCAAAATGAGGGACACAAATTGTCACAAGGATACTTGAAAATAATTAGATTTATTAGAACAAAATCCTGGTTACTGGTTTTATAATGGAAGAATTCGACTACAATATATGGCAACAAAAATAATGAATTCAAAGACCTTAAAAAGCCTTAATCTTCAAATTCTGGAAGCCCATCCAGAATGCCCTTCAAGGTATTGGACATTTCCCTGGTGATCTAGTTAAGTCAACTTTACTATTCAACTGCCTTTGAACATTCTGACTTCTTAAAGAATGTCACTAGGGGACTTCACTTAAAGTAGTCAAGGCCTACAGATATGTCAGTTATAAAACAGTTATTAAGGATGATGCCTGGGTGTGGGAGTGGGAAAGCAGGGAGGGCAGACACTGGGGAAAGGCAGAAATAGGTTCTCTGCTAATGTTTTCTCAGTATTTAAAATAATGTACTGATCCTTAAGAACAAAGATAAATTGAAAAGTTGTCAGAGGATACAAACAAGTTCTCCCTCCAAAAAGGCTCAGAAAATGCACTCATGAAATAAAAAATGCATATATAAAATAAGCACTAATAAGTGTGAGGGAAAACAACAAAAAACCATCAATTCACTTTAATTTATAGTTGGAGTCAGGAAATGTGAAAAAACCTTGACAATTAAATAATTCCAGTTTAATTCTTACTCATTCTTTTCTTTCCAATTATATACGATTACTTTCAGTTACTATTTTAGTAAGCTCTGCCAAATCACAAGGTACAAAATGAGGAGAGTTACAAATTGATTAAGGACCAAATGGCAAATTTGGAGATTTATAAAGTAATCTCTATATTATAAAGTAATGGTCCTAAAAAGGAGGAAATAAATATATTTTCTCTCTAATGGAGAAAAGTGATTTGAGAGTAGTAAGGCCAAGTTCAGTGCTACTTTATTAATTTCAGGAAGTGCAAAGAAAATCAATGCAAAATGTAACTTATATAAAGAATACTTTGTTGTTTCCTTGTGGGGCTAACAATGATGTAAGTGTTAACAGAGCACGACCCAACGTTTTTCCAAAATATGTTCCAAAAAACACCAGTCCCAGGAGTTCTTCTGCCCTCTTCCTTCAATCAATCAATAAGATAAAAAAATAAAATAAAATAAAATAAAAGGCTGCATGTTCAAACAAGTTTGGAAAACTTGCCTATTGTCCCCGGGACTCAAATAATATCAACATTTTATAAACTTTGGGACATTCCACAATAGAGAAACCTCAATTGTATTTAATCCAATACATTCCAAACTTACATGGTCACAAAACTCTTTCTGAGCAATGCCTATTAACATCCTGCTAGATCCACCAAGACTAAGAAGATTTTGGGACGCCTGAGTGGCTCAGTTGGTTAAGTGTCTCCCTTCAGCTCAGGCCATGATCTCAGGGTCCTGGGATCGAGTCCCACATTGGACTCCCTGTTCAGCAGGGAGCCTACTTCCCCCTCTGCCTGCCACTCCCTTTGCTTGTGTGCACCCACACGCTCTCTCTCTCTGACAAATTAATAAGTAAAATCCCAAAAAAAAAAAAAAGACTAAAAAGATTTTGAGAAATTCTGCTAATTCAAATATAAAACATGGGAAATCTACAACTGACATCTTTAAAATTTACACACTTCTCCCTCATCTCCCTATTCTCATTTTCTCCTTGTACCTAACAGTTGGACTTGCTGTATCTCTTCCCCCAAATAGTTATTTTCCACTTCCAAGGACCCACTACGAGCTAGAAGGTGCTGACAGTTATCCAGAACTTTACACTCTCCACTAAAAACGAGTAGATATGACTTTTTTTCTAACTTTGTCATTTAACTTCAAGTGAGAATAAAAACACTCTACTTCCTTACATACTTCCAAGAAAATAAAGACCCAAGAGCTACCACCCCAAGTGGTGTCTTTTCTTTCTATATATATCAATTTATTTTCCTTGAAGGACAGAAATAAGAAAAATTTAATAATCAAGGCAATTAAACATATTCCTTTAGAAAAAGCTACCCCACACCGCAAGCTTTCTTATAAATGGGCAGTATGAGGTAAGATTTTAATTAGCTATCCTCCCCCTACCCCACATTTTGTTATTTTTACACTTTCTTTTAAATATTTTCCTTTCTAATATCTGTGCTGCCAAAAATCTGGGAATTAATCAGCAAAGTGAAATATGGTAATTGACCCATACAGCTTTGTGATCATAAGTAATCGTAACTAGAGAGGGACATTTATATTTGTTAGCACACGAAAGGACAAACATGCCAGGCACAGAGAATAACTCAAAGCAAGTAAAAATTATAACTACTCAGCTTAGCTTCTAATTGAGCCATTTATAATTAAAAGGGCCCTAAAACCCATATAACTTCATAAAAGGTTACTCCATTTAACATGTACTTATTAAGTTTTCAAACAATGAAGTTTGGTAACTATTATTTTTTTAATTAAACAACATTAAAAGAAAGTCGTTATTTTATTACATGTATCTCTTCTCCAATTAGTGTCTGCAATACTTAATAATTCCAAACTTCCTTTCATCAAGAATTTTACACCTTTAATAATTTATTTCACACTATTTAGATTTAATTGGTTAGCACAGTGAAAACACTAAATATGGATCTAATTCTCTATATTTCTACTCTTAACCCAGTATGGCACAATATATTGTTCAAGAAAATGGTAGTAGTTTAAGAAATCACAAAGAAAGAAGATACATTCTATTAGTCAATAACAGTGTAAAAACAGTAGCAAGAGATTGGGCTCTAAAACTGGAAAGATATTTGTTCCCAGATCGACGACTTAGTAACCACAGGACTAGGCATATTATTAAACCCCTCTGAGCTTCAATTATTACACCTGTCAAGTAGGGATCTACCACCCACTCTGCAGAGGTACTACAAAGTTAAGTGAGAAACCTGAAGAAGGTGCTCAAGAAACAACTTTCCTTCCCCCATTTTTTTCCTTCTTTCCCTCCTTTCTTTAGACAGGGGTCATGTGTTTTGTCACTCACATGTCTTGAACAAAATGCTTTTTAAAAAGAAAACCCGCTGTGATTCTCTAAGTGTTTAGCATTTCAACCAGCTTCGTGCAGGGCAGGGTTAAACCATTTAATTTATGCACAATCAAGAATACCCTTTGTTTCTTATTTCCAGCCCTTTCTGTCCTCAGCCTTCAGATTAAAACAGTGTTCTTAAGTATTTCAACTAGGAAGAGTAGTATAATGGACATAAAGGGGACTGGAGAGAGAGTAGGTGGGGAAACAGATCCCCAGTGCAGGGACGGGCGGGGGCAGTGGCAATGAAGCAGGAGTACTTCTGCTGAGGCAGACTGTGCATCACATCTCCACTCTGTCCCTGTGACACCCCCAAACAAAACTCTTCTATGGTCCTGTCCTGGAGAAACACTGGTAGTTCATGTGTGAAGGGCAGAAAAATAAGTTAACCAATTTATACATTTTAAATACATGAGTTTTTTGTCATTAGCAGTTTATATGAAAGCTTTGTGGGTGGAAAAGGTAGAAAAGAGGAAAAAAAAGCATTTGCTAAAGGAGGATTTTAGCTAATTTACAAATTTCATTTAATTATGCGTTATTTCCCTCATTACACAGTAAGTAAAATAATGGCTGAAATAGTAAACAGCAAAATAACTACATAGTTATTACTGAACTAGAAAGTTATATTCAAAGAATGAAATACTTACTAAAAAGAAAACAGGTTTTTTTCTCTACTCCATTCAGGTTAGGTCCACTACTCCTCTTTGCCAACTCTGACGTGTTCCTCACAAATGCTACTTTATGTTTTGGCAAAGATCTGCCAGTTGACTTTTTTTTTTTATTCTTGGTAAGTGCCAATCTGATCAATATGGATCCTGTATTTATAACCACACTAAAAAGACAGACTTTTCCACCTGGAAGCTGACTTACACTCTCCCCTAAGAAGTGAATATGAATTCCACTAAAAAGTGTCATAAATTCTGTGACACGAACTGATTTCTTTCACCAGACTTACCCATTGTGAGTTACAAGGCACTGCCTCAGACCCAGCTTTCGGAAAATATCCACCACAATTTCCATCGGGGTGTGATCGGTCACGGTAAAAGGGCTCATGTCAAGGATGCTCCGAAGCTTCAGTGGCCGAGGGCTTTCCGCGGGAAGAGATGGGGTGTGCTGTGCAAAACACACACGAGAACTGCCCACAATACCTTCTTGTTTTTTTCTGGCACTTTCTGAAAAGAGAGAGAGAAGACCCGAAGTTAATCTGTGTTAAGGGGAATCTGTTTATTTGGAGATTTTAAAAAGTAACCAAATGTATCCCATGAATTTTGGTCCCTTCATTTTTTCCTACCTTCTTACCCAAGAAAGGAATCAACTGAAAATTTAGTAATTTCTTATATTTGACAGAATTAGACTATACCAATAACAAATCATCTTCATGTAAATAAAATATTTGTGGTCTATCAATTTTCTTTACTGAGGCTAAAGCTGTTTTCTAACTCTGGAGAACAAGGAAGCATGTGTGAAATATGGCTTTTTAAAACCTGCACAAATTACAACATGGTTTGTTATAGGAATCCATCATCAAATGATAGCTGCCCATGCTAAATGTCACTTATCCTGCAGAGGTGGGACTAAAGAGTTTCATTCCTATATTGACTATGTTGTATATACTCCACCGCTGTGAATTACCTAGTTCTTTCTCTTTTCTAAGGTTAAAGTTTAATTTTCTAGGCGCGTCATGAGCATTAACAGGTGGGTTGAAACTACAACTATGCACATGATGGACACAGACTTATTTTCCAGGTTTTATTTGTAAAGGCTCTGCTAATTTCCCCTCTCCGGTGTGCTCTGCTTCAAGTGCTTCTGTTTGCTGCCAAGCTCCACTCCGACCTTTGACAGTGCTAGACAAGAAGCAGTAAAGATGCAAAAAACTGCAGAACAGAGACCACAGGTGGAGAAAGGAAACCCATGAAATGGAGAGAATACAACAATAGCTTTATGTTTGTATTCTGAGTTAGTATGTATTCAAAACTGTGTTCACAACTATGTTTTCGCCATATTGAACATATTTTAAACATTAATTTTGCTACAAAAATATTTAAGCCAAAATAACAAGCATCAGATTGAGAAGATTGAGAAGCAGATAAACATATATAGCTCCTAAACAAACACTGCAATTTTGTTTGCTCCTTCTGACCTCTAAAGCCTTATTTAACTGTACTGGAACACATTCAGGTAGGAAGGCACTAAAAGAAGTTCTAATGACTAGTACTTACCAAACCACTTTAAAAGCATGATAAAAGCATAGAAAAGAAAAAAGCCCATTAGCAACTGACATAAACGATTCCTGAAAGATGTTCCTTAAGTTCTCTTAACTCACAGAAGCATCTGGCTAATGATCTATGAATGGTGGAGTGTAAATACTGTTAGCATGACAGATATTGAGTTAAAACTAACCCCACTCATCAAACTTAAATACCTTAAAATAACAAATTATTATACCATCAATGAAAATGTGCTGAGATTGTTTAAATATTTAATGATAGAAGTTTCAGAAAATTTTAGAAGAAGTTACTAACCTGTTTATTGTAATGTTCCTTCGATATACAAGGCACAAGGCTAGTGAAACCCAGCCTGACTTAAATTTGTCCTTTATATGAATACAGTAACTATTTTTTTTTTAAAGATTTTATTTATTTATTTGAGAGAGAGAGAATGAGAGAGAGCACATGAGAGGGGGGAGGGTCAGAGGGAGAAGCAGACTCCCTGCCGAGCAGGGAGCCCGATGCGGGACTCGATCCGGGGACTCCAGGATCATGACCTGAGCTGAAGGCAGTCGCTTAACCAACTGAGCCACCCAGGCACCCTACAGTAACTATTTTAACAAGCATCATTTATTGAGTACTTATAAAGTGCCGAGGCATCTGCTAGGATTGTTTTGCTTTGTTTGAAAAACAATCTTTTTTAATGCCATTCATTCAAAGGCTTTTAAAGCAGAAAATATCATCATAGTTTTCATTTTCTCAGTCATTAAGCAGCTGCCTTCAGCTCAGGTCATGATCCCAGGGTCCTGGGATCAAGTCCCACATCAGGCTCCCTGCTTGGCGGGAAGCATGCTTCTCCCTCTCCCACTCCCCCTGCTTGTGTTCCCTCTCCCGCTGTCTCTCTCTCAAATAAATAAATAAAATCTTTAAAAAAAAAAACAAAAAACCTCTGAAAAATATATCCACAGAATCAGTGGGATTATGAATAATTCTTAACTTTTACCACTTTATTCATCTCTTAAAAACCTTGCTTTTTTCCTTTAAATTCCTATATAAATTCTAAAATTCTGACATTTTTCTTTTCTTTGGCTGGCTACCATTAAAACCTAAAGAATAGGAATCTAAACAGTGAAATTCTTCTCCTACTATAGGTTTGGCCATGGGATTAGCTCAGAAGCTGAAACACTTAAACACAAGAGCAACATACATTGCCCATTCTCAGCAACTATTCTATTACCTACAGCAAACCCTGGAATGATAAGATTGCTAGTCTTTAAAAAACTCTTCCAGGGCGCCTGGGTGGCTCAGTTGGTTAAGCAACTGCCTTCGGCTCAGGTCATGATCCTGGAGTCCCGGGATCGAGTCCCGCATCGGGCTCCCTGCTCGGCAGGGAGTCTGCTTCTCCCTCTGACCCTCCTCCTCCCTCTCATGCTCTCTGTCTCTCATTCGCTCTGTCTCAAATAAATAAATAAAATCTTTAAAAAAAAAAAAAAAAACTCTTCCAAAGCTGTAGCCTTTTCCTTAACTAAACAGGATATTCTCTGTAGACGCTTCTGTTTTGTTTTGATAGCTCTTATAAACTGAGCATTTCCATTCTGATTTGAGAAACACTCCCCTAAGTCTTCCCTCTTCAAATGGCACAAGAATTAAAATATTTTACAATCCTTTTGCAATGGCCACAGAGATAAGTTGTAGAGGATGGGCTCACAGGACCAAATGCTTAACATTTCAGCTCATGGTCCTCCACTAAAAACTCAGGAGTATGAAAGCAACAGCTTGATGAAAATATCCTTTATCACCTTTGGGAGCTGGCGGGGAGAGAGGAAAAGGAATCAGATTGCATAGAAAAGGCCTTACTAGCCTCCTCATCAGTACTTCAGGACTATGAGAAGGAGAAAAATAAATTTTGGAGGAACACAATTGTTTCCTCCTCATAAAAAGTTTATTTCCAAGAAATAATATGGCTAATGCCTTTAATCTATACTTGCAGGAATAACATCTCAAAATACAATATGACTTATATACTTTTCAACCTAACATTTGCCCAAAATAAACTCTCAATGATTTTTTTTCACTTTAAAGTAGATGCTATATGTTAATATTGTAAACCTAAATCCAAAAGCTGAAAAAGGAAAACCTATCAATCTGATATGAAACACACCAACAAAGACAAGATTTTCAATAACTTGCATTCAAATAAGCCAATATTAAATACAAGAATGTATTTAGTGGGATGCCCTAGCACTTGCTAAGGCCTTATCTTATATGCTATTATGAATGATATCAACTTCACAAGGCTTATCTTAGTGGGAAAAGAAAGAATCTGACTTTGATCTCTGATAACAATGCCAAATCAAAAGATAAAACTGTATTTAGTGGGACACCTGGGTGGCTCAGTTGGTTAAGGGTCTGCCTTCGGCTCAGGCCATGATTCCAGGGTGCTGGGATTGAGTGCCGCATTGGGCTTCCTGCTGAGCAGGGAGCCTCCTTCTCCCTCTCCCCCTGAACCCCCCAACCCCGTGCTCTCTTGCACACTGTATCACAAATAAATAAAATCTTTAAAAATAAATAAATAAAATAAAAAGATTTCTTAAAAAAAAAAACTGTACTTAGTGGGGAAATAATTCACAGATGCCTAATTCCTTCCCTAAAGAACTCAAGACTTTCAGGGACATAAATAAAATACACCTCTCGCCCCCACAAACCCAATCAATTAAATATTATTGCTTTCCTTTCCTCAAGAAATCTATTATATGTCTATATCTATCTAAGTATATACAGATTCCAACAGATACAGATATAGATAGATTTATGTGTATGTATTTTTTAAAAAGGGTACCTATTGCAATTGTCAGGTCTCTTCTGAGGGCAAATCCCACCAATCTTTGAGATTCTTTTGACATTATGACAGGAAAGCCATTGTAGCTGGTTTCATTAATCATGTTTTCTATATCATCCACTGTCATATTGTCCTGTGTCAGGACGGCTAAGGGAGGATCGTTCCTTCGAGGTCTCATGACATCAGCAGCCAGGGTGGTATGAGTGAATTCTTCTTTTGCATCCAAGAAAGGGTATCCATTTAACCGGATGTGAGCTTCATAAATGCCTTCCCTACCAAAAGCATCGCCAACCCATTTACTGGTCATAACTGCAGCCATAAGGGGAACAATGTATTCCAAGCCTCCGGTAAGCTCAAAAACGATAACCACCAGGGAGACAGTCATCCTTGTCACACCACCTGAAAAAAAAGTAAGAACCATTGGTCAAGGAGGACAGGACATGTTAGCGGAATTTTTGTGCTAGGCAGTTGAATGCGAATTGTAAATAGAACTTAGTGAAAAGGATTACCATCAAAAACTGCTACTCCTCTCTTAAGACAATCACCACTATTTTAAGAAGATCTAGAGAAACACTGATTTTCTTTGTTTAACACAAAAGACTATTAAAATAACATTTCAAAACCTGTTTACTTCACAGTACACAGCTGACCAACTAAAACAAGCTTGCCATTTTGGTTTATTGCTATAGCAAAGATTAATTTCACTCTTATAAAATGGATTATTAAGTAAAGAATTTGGTGACGCACATCAGAGCTACCTTTTACGTCATAGCTACCAATTTAAAATTAAGCTCATATGTGGGTAGAATATTAACTTAATACACTTCTCTCCTCTGTATCTTTTCAAAATGAGTAAAATATTTTAATGCCTTGTGATTTATGTTAACAGGGTAATATCCCCTTCCTTAGAAAACTCATCTATTTGTTTACCCAAATCATCATTCTGAACTACCATCCGTATGCTGATGCCTCATAAACCACATCTCTCCACTTACTATTGCATTTGCCCCATGTCTCCAACTCTGCATACCTTATCTTATTGCTTGTTTATCTCATTTTCCAACTGTAAAAAGACTTTGGATGACCCACTGTCACAAAAAACACCACACACTTAAAACCAAAATCCTCTTCTTCTCCCAAAGAGCTACCCATCCCAACTTTCCTGACTCCAGCACCAGCACTACACTCTTCCCGGCAACCTAGACAGTCATTCCAGGTCTATCCCTCTACTTTACTCCAACACCTAAACCCTCACAAGTCCTATCTGATTAACTTTGCAAAATATTTATTTATGGGTCCCTTTCTCAATACTGTCACTATTACCAATTAGTCCAGACTCTCAAGACATGGTTCCTTAATTTTAACACTATTTTATCTTACCTCCTTGACTCCAAGCCCCATTATCTTCAATCCACTTTATAAGCCATGTTCCCAGGTTAATCTTTCCTAAGTACTACTTTCACCATGTTGCTCCTTTGCTCAAAAACCTATCAGGGCTCACCAGTTCATACTGTATTAAGCTTAAACACTTCCTTTTTGTTTTTTAATCTAAAAATAGAAGGGAGAAGACAACTGGAGAAATCCGAATATGGGGACTTATTAAGTGATATTATTTAATTAGTGTTCATTGTCTTTGGTGTGATAATGGTATTGGGATTATGTAGGGAATGTTTAAGAATTAAGGGGTGAAATACTGGGATATGTGCAACTTTAAAATATTTGGCAAAAAAAGTGTACGTGTATCTGTTTATGTTTGTTATGCATATATTTATGTGTGTATATGTGTGTATACATGCTTATACATATGTAAGAGAAAATAAATGTGGCAAACTGTTAAAAAAAAATAAAAATAAAAATAGAAGGGAGAAAGAACCTACTATATATTACGTATCTACACTATGCCAGGCATGTCCCTAGTCAGTTCACAAAGGCTTTTTTTTTTAAACTAAGTGACTTATTTTACCTGGCACTGTGCTAACAGCTTTACATGCAGTTGATCTCATATAATCCTCAAAACAACAGTAGGAGGTAAGTAGTTATTATTTCTATTTTAAAGATAAGAAAATAAAAAAGCAAAGGAACATTCCCAAAGTCATCAAGCTACAAATGCCAAAGCCATGACTCTGCCACAGCCTTTTCATAGTATGTCTCCTTCTCACTAATCCAACTTCATTTCCCAAAAGTATCCAAAACACACTCTCTACTTCAATATTGTCGGTATCTTCAAAGCTCCATGAATACTAAATTTATCCCTATCCCAATTCCTTTGCCTTCACATGATTACATTCCTCAAAAAAGTCCTCTTCTTTAAGTTCTACTAATCTTAAGTAAAGCTCATGTTCTACTCTACCTGAACTATGTCAGCTCTCCTTTTCTCTAAATTCCTACAATTTTCATAGACTCGGTACTATATTTAATCATTACATAATGCTCACTATTGTTTTCTCAGTTTCGTTCTTGTCTCCCCAACTTGACTGTACTTGAGGTTGGGCCCATGTTTTATACTTCTTTTTGTATCACTCACTGCACCTAGCACTGTTAAAGAGAAAGTGGATAACTACTAAGTAATTGCTACTTTGGTGAAAATGATTCTGTCCCTCACTTTCACTTGATACGATACTTTTGAAGATCAATAATTATATAATTTTGATTCACTGAACAAAAATAAGTCAAAATACCAACTATTATTAAATATCATAACCAAAATTCAGCTGACATTTTAAATATAAAAAGAAATAACTATTTTTCATATCCAAGAGAACACATAGACTCTTAAGTATTCAATGCAGATATTTTTTTTTTCATTAAAACAATAGTTACCTTTTTTCATTTTGCTATAAATGCACCTTAAATGGAGGAGGGCTGGTAAAGAAATCTTCCACTACAGCTAACTATAAGTCACTGCAGAGCCAAATCTAGTCTGACACTTTGCTAGAATGCTAATCTCAGGAAGCATGCTACAGTCGTCATAGGGAAGCCAAGATCCTTGACAATGAAAAGAACAAAAATTTCCCTGGACAAGATTCAAATTAAACCTAGGTTGTACTGAGATGTTTTCTGTTACAAAGCATTACACAATATTTAAAAGATGCTAACCACCATTAAATTTTTCCATTAACAAATGTTTAGAGACAGGCAAAATGAAAACTAGTACTACCTAAACACCATATAATAGTAGTACTGTTTCATTTTAGTTAAAGCATTCTCTTCCTCTGGCCTGTACCACCCTCCCCCACCTCACCAACCAAGCATAAATGTGCGGTCACACTTGCTCTTTTCTCTCTCAGATTCACAAACATCCACCCACAGACACAGTTTCATTACCTAAGCATGCAGCAGCACCAACCATGGCATAAAGGCCAGGTGTAATGCAATCAGCTCCAACCTCACACCACTCCTTAAAGATAAACCAGTCGTGGTGATAATACGCGAGCTGTTCTACTGCAATCCCCACAATCCTTCCGGCAATCGCTCCAATGGCCATGCTGGGAATGAACAAGCCTGATGGAACCTGTAACAAACACACAATGCTTAACAGAGCAGAGATCCTCGATTTGGATGCTTGGAACCTACATTCTACAGACTTCTTTCTAACACTTTTGATTCTTTTCACATTTTATTTATATAGCAAAATCCTAGTACAAATAAAACTACAGCAAAATACCGTTCTACTGGTACCTTCTTCGTGAATTCAGTTACAAAGTAACAACATTCTCTAGGCCAAAGAGAAAATAACCCAAGGGTTATTTATCCTTTAGCTCAAGGGTTCCTTAATGTTTTTTTTTTTGCTGCTAAAATTTTTATTAGTCTATGCTGAAATGGGGAAAGAAAAAAGGACAATATGAAGCATTTTTCATAAAACAAAATCAGTTCGGTGTGAAGTACCGAACTCCTCCTTTTACTCCACAATTACATCCTCCTACATATTTGTTGTTTACTAACTGATAAAAATATTAGATGCAATTCCTCTCAAGTTGTACAATGTGAAGCGGACAATCTTATCAGGTCCTTCAATATTTTTTAGCGATACATATAAGGAGAAAAATATTTATCGATCAATTAAATTTAATGAAGAAAATAGGAACAGTAAACATCTTAAGCAAGATCATTTAAAGATTAAAATACTAATAGCTCTAAAATGTTCTGGATATGAAATAAGCTGAGCACAAAATAATGGCATGTTGAACGTGGTATCAGGATCATTAAAAGGTTATCCAAAGAGAAGAGATCAAAATATGTTTTACTCCACTGCCAGTTAGGATTCTTCAGCCAGAGCACAGGGCATTGTGGGACTTAACAAAGACCTGCCAATTGTCTCCAGCGTCCTTTAGCTCAACTAAAGATGAGAAAGTTGGGGTTTACAGAAAATCAACTTACGTAGAAACAGGAACTTCTGTAGTTGCTCTAACTTGATTCACTATGAAAAAAATTTTTAACTTCAAGATTTTTCTATTATGTAACTCTTATACCCAGTAGACTAAATAGAGAACAACAGAAAAGAAAGAGACCATATTTCAAAAACTATCATTATGATTTTGTTGACATTAAGGTGTTATTCCACATAATTTACATCTGCAAAAGCATATTATCACTAGTGAATATTAATTTAAAGAACAACAATTAGCTGACATTTGATCCTCATACACAGCACTGACCGTCATGTAAGAAAATGACATTTACTGGCAAATCACTAAGTAATTAATGTTATTCTCACTTTTGTACATTCAAATGAAGCAATGGGCCAGGGCACTGGATCTAGCTCCCTTAGATCCTTGATGGTAAAAGACATGGTATTCACAGGCTAGTAATTTAACAGAGCCTGCAGCGTCCTTTCAAGCTAACACCCTATAGTAGCATGACAGGCGGAGTAATGGCTCCCCAGAGTTTTTCTATATCCTAATTACTATGAATTCCTTATGTTACACAGTAAGGAGGAATTAAGGCTGCAGGTAAAATTAAGGTTAATCAGCTGACTTTAAAACAGGAGATTATCCTGGATTACCTGGGTGGGCTCAAAGTAATCACAAAGGTTATTTTAAATGTGGAAGAAGGATTCAGAAGAGTTAGTGTCAGGATAATGAGATAAAAGAAAGACCTAACTACCCATTGCTGGCTTTGAGGATGGGAGAAGGGGGCCATAAGCCAAGGAATGTGGGTGGCCTCTAAAAGGCTAGAAAAGGCAAGAAATGGACTCTCCCCTAGAACTTCCATAAATCCCTATGAACACCTTGATTTTAGCCCAGTGAGACCCACTTTGGACTTCTGATCACCAAAACTATAATAAATTGGTGTGATTTTTAAGCCACTAAGTTTGTGGTAGTTTATTATAGCAGCAAAAGGAAACTAATATAAGTGCTTTTAAAATGAATTCCCTGACACTGCTCCCATTAAGAGGTAGGCCTGTTACTGCCCACACAAATAGAAAGTAACATGAGGCATGGTGCATGACTTCCCTGGCCAGGTTAAAAATGATCCTCTTGGGACAAGGAGCTACCATGTAAGAAATCTAAATGCCCATAAGGCACCAAGCTGGAAAAAAACCGAGAGACAGACAGAGACACAGACAGACAGAGAGAGAGAGAGAGAGAGATGTTCCAGGAGCCCAGATGTTCCAGACCCAGTTGTCTGAATCTTCCCAGCCCAGGTGGTAGATGACCAGCCTTAGCCATGTCTGATGACATGTACGACAGACCACAAACAAAACATGCCCAGTTGAGTCCTTCCCAAATTATTGAGTGAATATCAAGAGCAAAATAAATAGTTATCTTAAATTGCTAGGTTTTGGGGTAATTTGTTACACAGTAACAGATAACCATGTTCAACAATATATCCGAAGGAATTTTTATTCATTATGTAAAATGAAACCCAAAAGATAAGAACTTTTTCAGCATACATTTATGAAATAACCACCTTTAGATAAACATTTCACTGCTCATTTCACACACAAGTTTTAAACATGACAAAATTACTTAACTAACACCTCACGTTAGCACTTACCTTGATACCAAAAGTGAATACTGTCATGATAATTTTAAATATGAGTGCTAAGCATAACTGCCATATAGCTGAATATACTCCAAGGCCTGCTGGACGATCAGGAATATCATCAACAATCTTACTGGCATTCATGTCATTTCTGTAGTCACAAAGAGAAGAGGATTCCAGAGGACCACAGTCTGTAAAAAGCTCTTTGATCAGCTCACTGGTGTTGAGCCTGGTATACGGATTAGGGAAGGCTATCACCGCAGTAATGGCAGCAACAACAATGACTTCAAGAACAGGATACTTTCCGAATCTGGTGGATTTGCGGCGACGACACCAGGCAATATTTGCCCTAATGAAAAAGGCTCCCCAAAGCCCTCCAAATACCCCGAGGAGAATAAAAGGGAACAGTTCAAAAAGGTACCATGGTGTGTGATACTCCACATAAAAAAGGACCAGACGGCTGTTACCAAATGGATTGATGGATCTCAAAACAAATGCAGCCACTAAAGCAGCAAAAAATGATCTCCATAAAGTTTTAAGAGGAAAGTAATAGCTAACCTAAAAAGAAAAAGAAAAATTAATGCTATAATTTTATAAGATGTTTCTGATATCTTATAACTTGAATATCATCGTCTAATTTTTGCTGCAGCTAGCGTTTACATATAATAGATTTTACTGTGGTAAGAAAAAAATTGATGTTTTATTAACTTTGGCTATCACATCATTACAAGTTCCCAGTATCAACGGATCGAAATGTTTAGTAATTATTTCAGATACCTAGCATTGTTTCATTTTCAAAATAAGTTTCACCTCATGTAGTGAAGAATAAATGCACCATCACCAACTCTTATGAGCTCATAAAGAAGTATCTAATTTGTCTCTTCTACATTAAAGAAAAAAGAGGAAAAGAACACAAACTGGAAAAGCAAATTTTAAACCATTCCTAGCCACATTTTTGTGTAAACATGTAAAAAGTCTTAAGCACCAATGAGAAAACAAAAACAAAATATGCCACTGATGCGACTAAAATAATTTTCTTAAACATCAATAACTACCCCAGAAATAAGCATACAAACTCACAATTTAGAAACTGATTAAAACTTTTTAAATAAAAACATGGGCAATAATATAACAAACAGTGGTTAAATAATTTCTACTAAGCCAAATCCATTTCTGCTTACTTTTAAATATGTCAACAAAGTTTAATTTTAAATAAGCACTTAATATTTATACATGAATAATATTTTTAAGGTTTTTCTCAAGGTAAAGAACATATGTAATATATTAATCTATAGGTAAGAATAAGTGAAAAGTAACTTTACGAAGTTAAATCTGAAAACTTAAAAACACAGTCTGTATCTATTACACTAGCTATATAACAGAAAAGCGTGCCAAAATATATTTGTAATGGTAATTATGCATAATGTTATAGTTGCTGTTTTCTTTACCTACCTCTTCCAGGCTAAAAAGAACTCCTCCAATTGGTGCACCAAAAGCTACAGAAACCCCTGCAGCTGAGGCAGCTGATAGCACCTAAAAAGAGAATTTGGCTTATTTCATATATTCTTATAAATTCAAATATACCAAATAAAAATTCTTCCTGTTGCCTGAATTTTTGAAATGCCTCTCCTGAAGTTAACTCACATGTCTACCCCTTCTCCCCAAGCAGAGGCCATTATTTATTTCCTCTAAAAAGATATTTTTTCTCTTCTGCTTTAACTGAAAGGTCATTCACATGTTCGATATTCAATTAAAAAACATTTGTGCAAGATACACTAATGTAAATAGAATGCAAAGAAGAAAAAGGCAATGCATACACACAATTCTCAAGATGTTTGGGAAGACCAGTAGAGAGAACAGTAACTGGGGTTTAGGGGGAGTTTTTTTTCTTTAAATAATTTATTCATTTATTTCTTTTATTTGAGAGAGAGAGAGTGCGAGAGAGAGATCATGAGCAGGGGGGAGGAGCAGAGGGAGAGGCAGACTCCCCACTGAGCAAGGTGCCCAATGTGGGGCTCGATCATGACCTGAGCCGAAGGTAGACAGTTAACCAACTGAGCCACCCAGGCGCCCAAGGATATAATTTCTTCAGATTTTAGAGCTAACTGCTTCACCATTAATAATTAATGTTTTCTATGTAAGCTCTATACCAAATGTAGGGCTTGAACTCATGACCCTGAGATCAAGAGCTGCATGCTCTACTGACTGAGCCAGCCAGGTGCCCCTAATAATTACTGTTTTCTAAATCGTAGTAAAATATCTAGAGAACTTAAAACCTATTGAGTTACCTTATTTCCACTACTCTAAATCCTCTGAAAATACCGCTACTGCCAATTTGGAAAGCCTCATTCTAAAGCAAAAACAATGGCTACCCCCTTACGAGGTGGTCTTTCCAAACTGGAACCCTACAATAAAGTTAAAGACGACAAAAATATCCACAAACGTTCTTACAGATTCTCTCTCCACCTCCCCAGTCTGTCACTTGGACATTGCCCATTTCCCACCAGTGTGAAGCCAACTACACATATACATTCATTGGACATTTATATTGTAATTACTTTTCTAAGAGTCTTTATTCCCTTCAATGTTTCATTCCAGTAAATATCTGAGGGTACCAAAGCATTTCCCCAAATGGTCAAGTTTTACATTTATGAAAAAGAAACTGGAAATAATCAAAATTAAATTATATATAATTAAGACCATGATCTCCATTATCAGGCTGCTGTTTGGCAAATTAGAAATAAGCAAATACTTAATTTTAATTAAATTGTACTGGGCTAGGGGCGCCTGGGTGGTGCAGTTGGTTAAGCATCCAACTCTTGGTTTCGGCTCAGGTCTGATCTCACGGTTGTGAGATGGGTCCCCATGTTGGGCTCCACTCTCAGCGAGGAGCCTGCTTGTGTTTCTCTCTCCCTCTCCCTCTGTTCCCACCCCTGCTCTCTTGCTCTCTCTCTCAAATAAATAATTAAAAAAAAAAAAATTGTACCTGGCTTTAAGAATGCAGACTCTGCTTATATGGGGGAGGACAGCAAATTTAATGATTTTGTTTTTTCCCACTAACAGGATTGTAGACAACACATTTAACTGAATTCTCTGATTGTACATTTAATATAACAGAATTTTACATCAAGCTAACACCCAGTACTTATAACTCACACACACATTTTAATGTTTTATAAGTATCAAGGAATCATTTAATTAAAAATGTCAAGGAAGTGAACATAGGAAGAAAGCCAAAATATGAGGCCTTCATGTTTTCAACTAACAAGTAAACTCCAGCCATTATATACTAAGGTGAACAAAGTTAATGTCATAAACATTACTAATCATCACAGTGTATATCTTAAAATTTAAGTGAATTTAATTTCTATGGCATTTTCTAATAAATTACATTTTGCACTTAAAATGAATAAATAAAAATAAAAATCTTACCCCCAAATGTCAAGGTACAATAGCAAGTAAAGGAACTGCACTGGAGAGACAAATGCTATACCTCCATTTTAGCCCTAATTTGCTATGCTACAACATAGTTTTAGGTTCTGTTTTGTTTTTAACATACACACATATCCACAGTCACAGAAATAGTAGTAGTAGTAAGGAGTACAGACTTTGGAGTCAGAGAAAAATAAATTTTAATCCATACTCTGACACTCTGCTACGTAATCTTGGACAAGTTAGCAGCTCTATGCCCTAATTTCCTATCTATAAATGGGGACAAGAGTGCCAAGTTAAGAGGATTATTGTGGATTTAAATTTTAAAATGCAAGGACTTGTCACAGAACCAGATACAGAGTAAGTAATCAATAATGTTAGCTATTCGTATTAGAGCATAGTACTAGAATCACAATTATCATTCAGAGATGGAACTATGATGGTCTGAAGTGTTCCTCTTTCAGACTACTGCCACTGTACGAACAATGTTTTAGTACTAACACTAAATGAAAGAGAAATCATTTCAATTGAAGAATCAAATAGCTTGATAAAAATATTCTACTTTTTTGCTATAGTATTAAAAACAACAGGATGAAAAGTCCTGTGCTAGGGTCAGAGACCTCTGAGTTCTCAATATTTAATTATATAAAAATATGATATCTTGAAAACCCAAAGCACTCTGTACCACCTTGGCCTACAGATTAGATTGGGAACACAAGAAGGGATTGGGCTCCCAAAGTGTAAAGCTAATACAAAAGGTCTCAGGAGCCCATTTTTCTTCTAGAAAATATCCACAGCAATGTACAAAGATTAGGGAACTCTATAATATATAAAGTTTAAAGCCCTCCTAGAAGATCTTGGGCTGGCCTAAAAAAAAAAAAAAAAAAAAAAGGTAAAGGAAATAAATGCTCCTAAACAGCTGAATAAAAAGGAATTCCTATATTCCCTTTAGTATGAATCTCTGATTTAAACCTCAGGAGGTCCTAAAGGCCCTCAGAACATCTTCATGGTGCCAGATAGCTCTCTGCAGATGACACACCTCTCTCGGGGGCATTAGACACTTCCTCCAGAGGAAAACACAGCTGTTAAGACTTCCCAACCCTGGAAAAATACTGATGGTGAGAAATCAGAGGAAAAATAATGTTACATTTGGGAAAAACTTCAGAGGAAGAAAGGTGTAAGGCAAAGCAAAAACAAATGGAAAGAGCTTTGTGAAATTCAACTGAAACCAATGGACCAGGTAGTCTATCAAAACTTCTCTAAAATACTGGAGTAACTGAGCAGCACTGGGGATGGATTCTAGAAAGACATTAGAGATACTCAAAAAGGGGGAAAGAAGCAAACAATTCTCAGATTTGAATCTGAATACAGAATTTATCCAAAAAGTAAAGAGTTAAAATGTGATCTTTACACTAGAAAATTCTCACTAAGTCTATGTAATAGGTATTTATCTGTCAAATAAACCACAAAAGACACTTACCTCCCTTTTTTTAGCTTCATTTGTGCTATACTTTGGAAAGAGGTAGGAAAAAATATTTCCACAGCAACAGGCAACATGTACTAGAGGACCTTCTTTTCCTAAACTCAAACCGGATGCCACAGCCAGTACTAATGTGATGGTTTTAATCATTAAAGTCCATTTTCCCAAGTAACCTCTGATGATGAATCCACTTAAAATAGTTTTAATCTACAAAGAAAAGATTAAGACAGCTTAATTTCCTTTAAGAAACAGGAAAATTTAACTAATTTAAGTTACTCTCTTGTTTTACTCACAAAACCACCTTGCAAATATTTTTGGTTAACCATGGAACAATTCACAATTTTTCAAAAGCTTTAACTATTATGCTACATAATAAATCTATATCATATTCTAATTCTCTTCTCAAGCAAGGATTGAAGGCAACCCTATCTCATGAACAAAACTAGAATATAAGGCCATGTTAAAGGGAATACAGACCTGAATACAAGGGTTGTAATTACATAATAAGGAAAAGGTAAATTTGAATATTTCTGTTGTAGAAATATAGTTAAATACATTCAGATATTCTGTGTCAGAAATTAGGATATTTTGTCTTCTCAGAGTGCTGCCATTATGTGTAATATTTTCCTACATATTAAGAAGGATAAGTGACAACAGCTAAATGCTGCATGACATTGCCCCTTATTGAAGACACTCTTAACAAAACTTTAAAAATCACTAAAATTAAGTTTCAAAAGGAAATGCATTAGAAAAAGCTGATAACTTAAGACAGAAAAATTAAGAGGGGAAAGAAATGAATTCCCATCACACCTTTCAATCCTAAGTATATTCTTTAAATTACACCATTCAATTCTGAGTATATTCCTTAAATTACTGATGATAAAAAATAAAACCCAAAAGTTTATACTATTGCCTCACTATGGTCAAATGTTTATTTAAAGTACAAAATGGTTATAAATATTATCTGCCAAATTCAAGAACTATTAACTTATTTAATTAAAAAATAGTCATATAAAAAGAGTAAATATATTCAAATCAGGTTCATAGCAGCAAAACATCAACTAATCCATCAAAGAACTTTAGGCCACATAATACTTTTCCAGCTTTATAACTGAGTTTTCTAATATTTGTTTACTCATGTGCTAAATTAGTGGTGGAAAAAAAAAAAATCAACCTCCCCAGTTAATGATGAAATGACTACGGGGAAGAATTTTTTGTGATGTCTACAATCAGCTTACATTTTTAAAATGTTCTTTTTTACATTACAATTTCCCCAGAAAAACAACTACTTTTTCCCCCTAAAGGCAAAAAGATCAACATCATCACAATTACCAAATGTTTAAATGATACTAAAATATTGCATGGCTTACCTCTGGAATTCCAGAGCCACAGGCATATGGAGCAAATACTTTTACCAGGGAAACGGCAAGAAAGGCAAAACTCAAGGCCCAGAAGATGTACATTATGTAATTCATGATGTAAGAACCAGGACCCTAAAAGGTAAATCATATAGTATGAATTTAATGTACAGTGCATCCCGAATGCAAGTGCTTGCCACATAAGAAACTTGGGTGAAACTCGTAAGTTTCCTGGTTTACTTCCACAATAGTTAAAGCTTTATATGAACAATATATTTAAGTAAAATCAAAAAACATATTTATATATACAAGGAGGGTTGATCTGTTTAATGTTTTCCTAGCTTTTTCTTGATACCTAAAGTCTTGTTGCCAAAAGTCTGATACACTTTAACTTCTGCCTACCCACAAAACATATTTTGGAAATAGTTGAAGACAAAATTGCATTTGCATTTAGATCTCATTCCACTGTTCTCCTGAAGATCAAGTGAGAAACAGCATACTGCCCATGTTAGCAGCAAATATATTCTTTTTAGTTCAAAAATTCAGCTGTAACAAAATTTTTAAAACATATCCTTATATGACCGTGTAACTATATATATTACATAACGTTCTAACTTTTACAATGTTCTTCATTACAGAATGTCAAGAACAGTAATCATTTAAATACTATAATGCTACAAAGAAAAATACATGGATTTCTTCAAGATATCTCCAGTTACGAGGCTTATTTTACTAAACTTTTTGATAATTATACTTCCCGACAATCATATGTTAAGTAGTTTTAATAACTTGACTTCATATTAACTTTGTGATTATACGGATCCTACTGCACTTTTCTACAATAAGAAATATATTTAATGTCATAATTGAATAGACTTGAATGTGACTATATAGTTAATTAATAAAGAGCTTCTAGAAACTTCACATTTTACTTGCTGCAATGTATTCTTCTATTTTCCAATCTATCCTATTACATTTCTTTTTTTTCTTTTAATGCAGTTGCAATCATCTAATATGTGATTAATTCTATAATTAAATGGAGACTTATTTAGCCATATCAATTATTAATTCATCTTCAGACCCAGCAAGACTTACTTCCGCTTGACCTATGATTAGTTCTGCCCATGTTTTCCACTGTGGACATTTATCCCTCTCTTCAAATGTTGTTTCATTAGATCCCCAACAACACTGTTCATGGTTGTACCACAATGCACTAAGGCAAATGCCCTCCTTTAGATCAGTCATCCAGTCAGCAGCAATGTCTATTAATCCAGCCAATGCCCCTGTAAAAACATGTTGAAGGTAGTAAAAAAAAAAAAAAAAAGTAAATCCATTTTTTGAGTGTTAAGAACTATCAAGTTAAGAGGGTCAAAGAAAGCTGCAGACTCCCTATACATAAAGGGTCACATAGGGAATATTATATAAATTTAAGATTTTTAAGTCTTAGGTATAAATAAGTTTATATTACTTCCAAAAAAGTATAGATAGCCACTCTTTAATATAAAATGGCTATTCTTTGTTTGAAATTAAAACTAAATACATCATTTAAATTAATTGTGATTTGTAATAAAGGTGTTTAAAGACACTAAAACATCTTTAAAAGTCAGCTATCTAGCAGGAGGTTCACAAATCAGGTTATTAAAGTCAAAGTTTTTACTATTATGTTTCAATCTGAAACTTAATAAATATACAAATGATATCAATATCATTAAAATTTAATATCCATTAGAAATAGTGAAACTCATAACATTAATGAATTACTGTGACAGACTTTCAGTTTTTTCCTTAAATAACAGAAAATTAAATATGCCAAGATCATTTTAATGACAGAATACAAAAAATATACAAATTTATGGTCAAAATCTAGGACCTTCTCATCATATAAAAAGATCAACAGGTCACATACACAGGGGTCACAAAATTCTTGTGCATGTCCATTAGAGGTATCAGTACTTCCCTCTATTCGCCACATACATTTTAATTTTCCTCATGTTCTTCTAGATATAATCTTCCATGGTGGAAGCTGAAAGTCATTAAAATAGTCCTTAATGTTTGTGTTCAGATCTTCAACTCCTATTTCTTAAAATCTCACACATAGGCACGTTGTGGGCACTTGATAGCATGGTAGTTGAAATGCAGACTCTGGAGCAGAACTGCCTAAATGTAAATCTCTGCCTGGCCACTTACTAGCTACATGACCTTAGTCAAGTTACTAAACCTCTCTCTGTGCTTCAGGCACCTCATCTGTAAAATGGTGGTAACCGCAGTACTTACACCACAGGACTGACATGCAGTTCACATACATGTAAAGATTTTAAGGCAGTGCATGAAGCACTCAATAAACAGTAGCTACTTATTATGATGTTAATATTAAAAGATACTTTATTGTTTATCTGGACCAAACCACGTATTTTACAGACACAGAAACTGAACCCAGAAAGATCAACCAAACTGCACAGACACTTAACGTGACAGAGCCAAGACTAGACTCTGTAGCTTCCTGCCTCCCAGTCTTATATTTAAGATTTTTTGAAAAAAACAAAATAAATACTTTTAAAAATCCAACAGGACCTGAAAAAAACATTGTGGGAAGGAGTGGAGAATGATTTATTTTTCTGTTAACCAAAAAATGATTACATTAAAATTTTTCTTTACCTGATGCCAATCCTGTTAGTGTTACTACTAGCCATCCTGACCATGCATCATATAAGCTTTTTGTCATTTCCCATGCTGATTCTTTCTTTTTGCTGTTGATCTGAAATTAGAAATGTTTATGCTTCATTTTTCAAACCATGAACAAAAGCCACAATTCTAGAATCTAACAGTTTTTTCCAGTTACTATACACAAGACAGTAATCTATAAACTAAATCATGGGAAAGGTGAGCTTGGGGCAGAATCACTATGTCAGACAGCTGTTATACGTGTAAACCGGATGATAAACATTTACCCAGAGATCTGCATTTTTAACAAAACCTCAGGATTTGAGAGCAAGGGGTCCACAAACCACAGAGTTTGGCCTATACTGTTTTAAACTGAATCAAATTTAGCTGATACATAACTTTTATATTAACAGAAATAAGACATTATGGCTTGAAATGTCTGTCATTCCCTGACCATTTTCTAGTCCTAGCAATTAAGTGGATTATAATATTCTTTAAAAGGTAAGGCCAGTTAATAACAGTGCCCATAATAACATGCTCATAAATACAGTATAGAATAGTCATGTGAATAAAGGGCCTGCCAAAATTTGTAGGCCTATAAATATGCAGTTATGGAGAACTGTAATCCCATTTATAGGGTCCAGAAGCTCTCTTCTATCACTGTGTAAGGCAGAAGTGTCCTCTAGCAGGACAGGAACAGATCTGATTTCTAGATCTCACTCAACTAAGACACAAGAAGGCAACTCTTCCTCTCTTAGTAAGAATGCACTTTTATTTTTTCTTTTTTTTATGTTAATCACCATATATTACATCATTAGTTTTTGATATAGTGTTCCTTGATTCATTGTTTGCATATAACACCCAGTGCTCCCTTCAGTACGTGCCCTCTTTAATACCCATCACCAGGCTAACCCATCCCCCTGCTCCCCTCCCCTCTAGAACCCTCAGTTTGTTTCTCAGAGTCCATAGTCTCTCATGGTTCGTCTCCCCCTCCGAATTCCCTCCCCTTCATTTTTCCCTTCCTACTACTTTTTTTTTTCAAACATAATCAAGAAATGGGCAGAAGACATGAACAGACATTTTTCCAAAGAAGACATCCAAATAGCCAACAGACACATGAAAAAGTGCTCAATAGCGCTCGGCATCAGGGAAATCCAAATCAAAACCTCAATGAGATACCACCTCACACCAGTCAGAATGGCTAAAATTAACAGTCAGGAAATGAAAGATGTTGGCAGGGATGCGGAGAAAGGGGAACCCTCCTACATTGTTGGTGGGAGCTGGTGCAGCCACTCTGGAAAACAGTATGGAGGTTCCTCAAAAAGTTGAAAATAGAGCTACCGTATGACCCAGCAATTGCACCACTAGGTATTTACCCCAAAGATAAAAATGTAGGGATCTGAAGGGGTACGTGCACCCTGATGTTTATACCAGCAATGTCCACAATAGCCAAACTGTGGAAAGAGCCAAGATGTCCATTGACAGATGAATGGATAAAGAAGACGTGGTATATATATACAATGGAATATTATGCAGCCATCAAAAGGAATGAGATCTTGCCATTTGCAATGACATGGATGGAACTGGAGGGTATTATGCTGAGTGAAATAAGTCAATCAGAGAAAGACATGTATCATATGATCTCACTGATATAGGAATTCTTTTTTTTTTTTTAAAGATTTTATTTATTTATTTGAGAGAGAGAGAATGAGAGACAGAGAGCACAAGAGGGAAGAGGGCATAGGGAGAAGCAGACCCCCTGCTGATCAGGGAGCCTGATGTGGGACTCGATCCCGGGACTCCAGGATCATGACCTGAGCCGAAGGCAGTCGCTTAACCAACTGAGCCACCCAGGCACCCTGATATGAGGAATTCTTAATCTCAGGAAACAAACTGAGGGTTGCTGGAGTGATGGAGGTAGGAGGGATGGGGTGGCTGGTGATAGACATTGGGGAGGGTATGTGCTACGGTGAGCACTGTGAATCGTGTTCGACTGCTGAATCACAGATCTGTACCTCTGAAACAAATAATACATTATGTGTTAAAAAAAAAGAATGTACTTTTAAACCTATCCCTAACTAGCCCAAACCTCTTCCATTCTATTAGGACTGTTGCTTTTAAAAGCCATATTCTTGGGGCGCCTGGGTGGCTCTGTCAGATAAGCATCTGCCTTCAGCTCAGGTCATGATCCCGGGGTCCTGGGATCAAGTCCCACCTCGGGCTCCTTGCTCAGCAGGGAGCCTGCTTCTCCCTCTGCCTGCTGCTCCCCCTGCTTGTGCTCTGTCAAATAAATAAATAAAATCTTGAAAAAATTAAAAAATAAATAAAAAGCTATATTCTCAGTCTAGGACTTCAGTGTTCAAACCGTCCCACAGTATGGCTACAGCTAGAATTCAAACATCTGGCCTATTTTAAGCCATAAGTCCTCACTAAAAAGACTCAGTTAAGTTCTGGGTTGAATAAGGTAATTTTATACCTTCTATACTATAAGCAACTAATCACAGATACTAAGCATTCTTTAGACTCTGAAGGTAGGTTCATTTCTTTCAAAAATAATTATTAAACCCCATGTTGCTTTTTCTCAGTAACTGTAATGTTTCATATAATATGAGGTAAAAACTGGAAATTATCTAAATGTTCATCAATACTGTACTGGTTAAGTAAATTGCAGTCTATGTAATAAAAAATTCTGCACTCACTAAAAAAGAAAAACAGATGCAGTATTATGCAGGGGGGAGAAGCAAGGTGGACTGAAGTGTGTACAGTACGCTACCATTTATCTAAGAAAAAATAAGCATTTATCATAAGAAAAAATTTACATCCTTGTATTTTTTAAAAATAAAGGGGATAAACCATACAGTTTTAAAAGTAAATCATTATTTTAAGAGGAGGGTGGCAACAGGTTAGAAGGGAAAGGGACTTTAAAACAAAATAATTTGTATGTGTGACCCTAATAGGATAAATGCTAAGAACAAAAACTATTGTAAAAAACAAACAAACAAAAAAAGAAAACACTAAAACTTTTCAGTAAGCACATCGATGGTGATAGTGTTGGTAACATTCTGAAACTTGTGTGTGTATTGTGAAGTAAATCATATGACTATATATGTGATGTTGAGATTTTGGGCATGACTGAAAGATGGTACAGATTTTAGAACTAGAGGTTAAATAAAAGCCCTGAAGTATGAGGTTATGCCTTCAGGGAAAGCATTTATGTGATTTACAAAATAAAGTTGACACCCACACATGGTACACCATTTTTACTTGAAAGACACTAAACTGGAGGGTATTACGCTGAGCAAAATAAGTCAATCAGAGAAAGACATGTGTCATATGATCTCACTGATATGAGGAATTCTTAATCTCAGGAAACAAACTGAGGGTTGCTGGAGTGGTGGGGGGTGGGAGGGATGGGGTGACTGGGTGATAGACACTGGGGAAGGTATGTGCTATGGTGAGTGCTGGGAATTGTATAAGACTGTTGAATCATAGACCTGTACCTCTGAAACAAACAATACATTATATGTTAAAAAAACAAGAAGAAGACAGTAGGAAGGGAGAAATGAAGGGGGGAAATCGGAGGGGGAGACGAACCATGAGAGACTATGGACTCTGAGAAACAAACTGAGGGTTCTAGAAGGGAGGGGGGCAGGAGGATGGGTTAGCCTGGTGATGGGTATTAAAGAGGGCACGTACTGAAGGGAGCACTGGGTGTTATACGCAAACAATGAATCAAGGAACACTATATCAAAAACTAATGATGTAATATATGGTGATTAACATAACATAATAAAATTAAAAAATTAAAAAATTAAAAAAAAAAAAAAAGAAAGAAAGAAAGACACCAAACTATGGTTTTTCAGACTTGGGAATCTGACAGGCATCTTCCCAAAAACAAACCAAGGAAGTCTGTCATTTCAAGTGAAATGAATGTCTATTTGTTTCTAATGACAGAATTTGAGCTTTCAAGTAAAACAAGAATTTTGGAAAACTTTTATCTATCACTGTAAGGATGACAGATTCCAAATACTTAAAAGACTTTTCTAAAGAGATCAGGGTTGATATTAACAAATGTGATTTTTTTATATTGTATAATGAAAAGTGTCAACACTTGAAAGAACTGCATAAATCAGTGAATATTTTCCAAATGATCATTGTATGATATGACAAAATTATTCATTAGAATTGAAGGTGAACTAACAGATTTTAATGTAACAAAAGACATAAAGTTCATTGGTATAGTTTCAGATTACCCACTGGCAACTAATCTTTAAGAAACTACCACCTGTCACTTTGGTAGAGTATCAAAGACTATCCACAATGATATAAAAAGGTTATTAAAATAGTCCTAGCTTTTCCAACTACCCATCTATATGAGGTTGGATTTTCTTCATACATTTCAACCCAAATAACATATCACAACAGACTGAATGCAGAAGCAGATATTAGAATCCAGCAGTCTTTTATTAAACCAGTAATAATGAGATTTATAAAAATGGAACATATATCACTGTAATGATAACAGATTCCTTATATCTTATAAGGATCCTTATAAGGATGACAATTTCATTATACAGTATTAACAAAAATCAAACTTGTTAATATCAACCCTGATCTCTATACTAGGAATCTGTCACTAAATATTTTTTATTTTGAGAAACAGTTATTTTTCATAAAAATATGTTTTGTTTTGTTTTCATAAAAGTATGTTTTGATGTTATGTGTAATGGGGTTTTGTACTTTTAAATCAACATCTTTTAAATTTCTCAGGTTTTGTATGGAATATGATAAATATCAATTAATATAACCACATAAACTAAGTTCCCTAGATATCCTCAATAACTCTTTAGAGTTTAGAGTTTAATAGTGTTCTTGATGAATGGATAAAGAGGATGTGGTATATATATACAATGGATTATTACTCAGCAATCAAAAAATGAAATCTTGCCATTTGCAACGATGTGGATAGAACTAGAGGGTATTATGCTAAGCAAAATAAGTCAATCAGGAAAAGACAATTATCCTATGGTTTCACTCATGTGGAATTTAAGAAACAAAACAGAAGAGCACAGAGGAAGGGAGGGAAAATAAAACAAGATGACATCAGAGAGGGAGACAAACCATAAGAGACTCTTAACCATAGGAAACAAACTGAGGGTTGCTGAGGGGTGGGGGTGGGGGGATGGGGTAACAGGGTGAAGGGCATTAAGGAGGGCACTTGATGTAATGAGCACTGCATGTTATATATAACTGATGAATCACTGAACTCCACCTCTGAAACTAATAATACACTATATGCAATTAACTGAATTTAAATTAAAAAAAAATAATTCTAAAAAAAGTGTTCTCAGATAATAAAATAAAATAAGTGTTCTGAGATGAAAAACTTTGAAAATCACCACAGATTGTATTGTGTCTTCCAAAAAAAGTAAATCTTGACTGATGAATCTCAGGGGTTATACTTGTCATAAACAAAATAATCTCATTCTATTTTCAACTTTACCATACATGTATACATTAATATAAAAAGGGTTTTTGGGGCGCCTGGGTGGCTCAGATGGTTAGGCATCTGCCTTCGGCTCAGGTCATGATCCTGGAGTCCTGGGATCGAGTCCCACATCGGGCTCCCGGCTCGGCGGGGAGCCTGCTTCTCCCTCTGACCCTATCCCCTCTCATGCTGTTTCTCTCTCTCTCAAATAAATAAATAAATAAAATCTTTAAAAAAAAAAAAAAAAAAAAGGGGTTTTGTTTTGTTTTGTTTTAAAGATTTTTTTATTTATTTATTTGACAGAGAGAGACACAGCAAGAGAAGGAACACAAGCAGGGGGAGTGGGAGAGGGAGAAGCAGGCTTCCCGCCGAGCAGGGAGCCCGATGCGGGGCTCGATCCCAGGACCCTGTGATCATGACCTGAGCCGAAGGCAGACGCCTAACGACTGAGCCATCCAGGTGCCCCCATTAATATAAAAAGGTTTTAATTAATTTGTACAAGCAGTTATTTTCATTTATAAGTAAATTTCAGACCTCAAAGTTATAACGACCTTTTAGAAGTTGGAATTTTATTTTTTCAAAGAGAGTTGTTTTTTTTTAATTTATTTTAGGATTACATCAGTAAGTCACAACCCACAAGTTGTACTTTTTAGTAAAAGCCATTCTTTTTTAAATGTTTTTTATTTAATGGATAAAATATGTATATAACTTTAAATTTTTTATTTTTTATTTTTTTAATTTAGCAGAAATTTATTTATCTATTTCTCTTTTTTTTTGATGTTACAAATGGAATAGTTGATTTCTGAAGAAATTTTAACCCAACTCTTTAGCCCAAGATGTATCTGAAATATACATTTGCTATAAAAACCATTGGAAATATTATTGCAATATAAGTAATTCTTTTTTTTATTAGTGATTCATTACAACACTTAATATGCCCTTTACAGGACTCAATTTGAGAAATCTCAGCATTTAAAACTGAGAAAGAAGATAAAAGAAAACAGTAAAATCCCACGAAACTATCTCTCCAATATGCTTCTTCTGTAATAATAAGAATTATATAACAAGTTTCCTCTTTTACTGTAGCTGCTGTGCTGCTCAAAGACAAAAATCATGCTGACTTCTATACCTCGATCTTCCTCCCCAACTCATGTGCTGTGTTTTCCCAGTCCTTCCTTTTTTGTCTTAATATACTTCCTTGATTTTAAGTTACCTCAAGTCCTTTCCAGGGGTTTAAGTAAACTTTTTTAAAAAATTACATACAGAGAGAAAAAAACATGCATTGCTTATAAAATGTAGAAATTTACCTAAATGTACTTTAATGCGTAATATATATTTTGGCAGCCTGAGATCATTGGCAAAAATATATTATTAAAGGGTGCCTGGGTGGCTCAGTCGTTAAGCATCTGCCTTCGGCTCAGGTCATGATCCCAGCGTTCTGGAATCGAGCCCCGCATTGAGCTCCCTGCTCCGCGGGAAGCCTGCTTCTCCCTCTCCCACTCCCCCTGCTTGTGTTGCCTCTCTCGCTGTGTCTCTCTCTGTCAGATAAATAAATAAAATCTTTAAAATATATATATATATTATTAAAATGATCTAGTTATACACTACATTAAAAAATTACTGAAAACACTTACCCGTCTATGCCTTTCTCTGTCTTTACATTTCTCTCGCACCCAATCAATAGTATGGAAATCATCGTATGTACCAACACCTGGAATTGGTTCATCCAAAAGATCCAGTAAGTGTGTAGAACTGTTAATGCTGCCTCCATTAGTCATTGTATAATGAGTTCCTACAAAGCAAAAAAGAACAGTATGTTTTATGAGAGACAATGGTGAACTATGTAACCTTCTTAATAGTTCACTAGCAATTCAAAAAGAAATAGTATTACTTGAAATATAATAAAATAAAGGAGGGAAAACATCAAGAAAAGTTATCCAAAACTTGGTGATAAGGCAAAAGACCATGGCATGTCCTTTCAAACGTATACTACAGTATCAAAAATAAGCCTGCCTAGGGGCGCCTGGGTGGCTCAGTCGGTTAAGCGTCTGCCTTCGGCTCAGGACATGATCCCAGGGTCCTGGGATCGAGTCCCACATCGGGCTTCCTGCTCCGCGGGAAGCCTGCTTCTCCCTCTCCCACTCCCCCTGCTTGTGTTCCTTCTCTCGCTGTGTCTCTCTCTGTCAAATAAATAAATAAAAATATTAAAAAAAAAAAAAAAAGCCTGCCTAATACTCATCTTTTGCTCTGAGGAAGAGGACTTTGATTAATTATTTTCTATTGATTAGGACATATCTCTATAGGACATAGACTCTAAAAAGTTAGATAACGACTTATAGAAGATGGATAAATTGAAAATTATTGTTTTCATCTGGCAAAAATGTAATTCAATTTCATCTAGCAGAAAAGATAATACTTAGAGTTGCAGTGTTGGGGGTTTTTGTTTTTGCCCTGTAAGAAATTTTTTCACTGATATTTCATCTCACACACCCTCATCTAAGTCATCTTTGTCATCAAGCTAGTTTCCTCACTAGTACTAAATAAATATTTGACATGTGTTCACTATATACTTATAAGAGACTTAAAAGTACCAGGAAGAACACTGAAAGACAATTCACAAAAAAGACTTAAATTTACAAAGTTCAATCCAACACAAATGACTCAATTTAAAAAGTTCAATCCAACACAAAAAAGAGAAATACGAATCAAACCTACAGTATCATTTTTCTCTATCAGACTGGTAAAGATTAAACAGTTGACTAATGCACTGAGTTGGCAATGTTATGGGGAAGGAGGGCTTGCCACAAAATTATTAGTTTAAGTATAAACTGGTATAACCCCTCTAGGAAGTCAAAGTTACCAAAATTTAAATACACAGATATTCTCTAACCCAGTGAAGTCCACTTTCAAAATTTTTTTTGCAGTTACACTTGCATAAATCCATAAGTTACACATAGTGTGGTAAACATCTTACTGTGCGCTTTATAAGGAAAAAACAAATTAATGCCAAAGTGTTTGTAATCCAAAAGAAGGGTCAGCAAAAGAGCCAGAAGTAAATACGTTAGGCATTGGAGGCCACAGTCACAACAACACAACTCTGCCATAGTGGCACAAAAGAAATCATAGATAATATATAATGAATGGGTATGGCTGTGTTTCAATAATACTTTATTTACAAAACAGTGAAGAGCAGCATTTGGCCCAACCACTGATCTAAAGTCTATACAGCACAAACCAAACTCAACTGAAGACGCTTACTAGGAATTTTCTACCTACCAGCACTCTTCTAGATAGTATAGGAGATAAAAGGCAACAAAAACATTGTCCCTGACTCAATGTAATATTGAATATTGTACTAATAAACTTGATGTCTATTTACTTCTCCCAGGTAGAACACAGTTCTCTCTTCCCTTCCTATTTGATACATTTGAATATTTGCCTTGGAAAGTATAAACCTTCTAAAAGAAGAATAGTATATTGATCTCAGTGTTTTGGCAGATGTACTCCAGGAATGAATAATTTATCATTCTTGGCTGAGGGTTTAAAAGCCCAATCCCTGCAACAGCCCATGCTGATTTACATAAAACAACCTTATACTTTTTACACTAGCTCTCTCTTCCTCTACCCTGATTTTACTCTGCAATTTCCACCTGGTAAAAGCTGGCTGAAAGGCCATAAATTTTCTTAAGGAAAAAATTACTGGAGAATAAACATAATGCGTATTTATAATGTCTTGACAAACTTGAGAATCTCTGACTCTGCTTTCCATATGATAATATTAAAATTGGCAATTTTAAAAATGTTTTTGGAGGGACATATCAAAAGCCTCTATGGCCTTCTGATATGATGACATCACTTCTGGATAAAAATGCATAAAGTCAATCTTAAAAGGAAAAACAAACACAAATTGAAGGAAATTCTACAAAATAAATGGCTTACATTCTTCAAAAAATGTCAAAGTCATGAAAGACAAAGAATGACTGAGAAACTGTTCTAGATTAAAGAAGACTCAAAAGACATGACAACTAAATGTAACATGTGCTCCTGGATTATTAGAATGTGGACCAGGAAAAAAACTGGGTGTTTGTTTGTTTTTTTTATATTAAAGGACAGAGTAAAATAACTAGAAAAATTGTAAACAGTCTGTAGATCAGACAATGGTACATATCAATATCAATTTTCTGTTTTTGAAAACTGTACTATGGCTATATATAAGGGAATGTTCACTCATAAGGAAATACAAACGGAAGTATTTATGTATACACACACATTTATTTATGTATTATATATACACACACACAAAATAGAGAATAGCATATAGAACAGTGAAAGAAAGATTAAGAGACAGACTAAACAAATGTGGTAAAATGTTAACATTTCAGAAATCCGGGTAAGAGGTACAGAGGATTCTTTTCACTATTTTTCAACACCTCTAAGACTGAAATTAAAAGAAAATGTTTTTTAAAAGTCTGCCATGATAGGGGCGCCTGGGTGGCTCAGTCGTTAAGCGTCTGCCTTCGGCTCGGGTCATGATCCCAGGGTCCTGGGATCGAGCCCCGCATCGGGCTCCCGGCTCAGCGGAGAGCCTGCTTCTCCCTTTCCCTCTGCCTGCCTCTCTGCCTGCTTGTACTCTCTCTCTCTGTCAAATAAATAAATAAAATCTTAAAAAAAAAAAGTCTGCCATGATATATTTTGAAAACTTCCAACTCCTCCCACCCCATGTTGCCTTTATTTGGGTAGAGTTAAAGAAACATGAACTGCTGATTTTAATTATTACTCTTCTATTCAAAAAATAAAAAGCAAAATTTCTATACTACTTAACATATATCCACATAATATGTCACCAGCCCCATGATAAGAATTGTCAAGCTGTTTGCACCACAAAGATGATAAGCAAATGAAGCATTTATTACTCCCACAGACATAAAGCAGGAAGTACAAAAGTAGACACTCATTTTAGCAAAAGGTACAGCAACACAATAAACAATATTTACACTAACTATGGGTCTTGTCTTTAATGATTTTCAAAAAGTTACTCTGCAGAAACTACTCTGACATCTAACTGACAAAACTATGCAGCAATTCAAAATATCTGAAAACCAGAAATTAAGGATTCAAACTTTTTAAACCAGAGGACCCTGTGAACCAATGTTTTGTATTTTGGGGCTTTTAGGTTGTGTCCCTTAAAACTTCTGGGGCCGATACAGGACATGTTAGCATGGGATTTAGCCAGAGCAGTTCATGTCCCCAACAGACTGTTTGTAGGTCAGTCTGTCCCATCACCCCTATTTGCTTCTACGTACAGAGCAATGGTGTTTGAAAAAAGCATATTATAGGGAGAAATACTGATTGATGTTTTTGGTTTTGGAGGAACGCACAGACACACAGAGTCAATTATTTCTAAAAGAAATCTGGATCATTCTTGTGACTCCTACTATCAAACTGGCTTGGAGAGTAACCAAGGAAGATTTTGGTATGAAAGTAAAATAAAAATTTTTGCTGAGACAGAAATGATTAGAATATTTCTCTGGCTCTGATATATACAACTAAGTGGAATCCCCAGGAAGAGAAGGGCAGACATTTCAATCTGACTTTAATTTCTCTTTTATCCTGTTCCTTACTCATTGTAGGGGCTATTACCGAAAACTGAAAGACATTACACTGAATGAGAAATCAATTAACATATTTTTTTAAAGTTTGTACTTGTGGAGTGTCACACTTAGTGGTCTGTCCTCTGCTCTGCCTCCCCTCGTTTTTTAATAGTACAGAAGTGGGAACTGTCCATTTCCAAGACACTTTTGACCCACGGATCTATTTTCTATTTCTCATAGCCTCTGAAGACAACAGTCACCACACTCAAGGCAGGGATTTTGGGCTCAACATTTCAGAGGCCCCCAGGCAGACTACAAACTGTGATAAAAGGTGCAGAGTCTCTCATTTGTACAGATTGCATTCATCAAATATTTACCAAGAATTCCAGATAAAGTGTTCCAGCCTTCACCTACAGATCATTGAAAATATGGTAGGGGACTCACAGTACCCTCATAACCTACATATTGTTACCAGAATAAAAAGTACAAAAAGATGTCCAAATTGCTGGGGCGCCTGGGTGGCTTAGTTGGGTAAGCATCTGACTTGGGCCCTGGTCATGATCTCAGGGTGCTGGGATCTAGTCCGGTATTGGGCTCCCTGTTCAGCCGGGAGTCTCCTGGTCTCTCTCTTTCTGCCTCTCCCACTGCTTGTGCTCTCTCTCTCTCTCAAATGAATGAATAAAATCTTTTAAAAAAAAGTCCATATTGGGAAAAAGATATAATAAAGATGCTTGGGCTAGAAAAAGCACATACTCAAGTTCACACGAATATCCCTTCAGAGAATGCAAAACTGAAAGTGGTTAAACATTTGATAAGAATCAAGCCCCTGAAGTTGCCACAAGGACGTCCAGCAGAGGAGGACATGTCTAATACGTGCCTCAAGAGTACTGGGGAGGGATGCCTGGGTGGCTTAGTTGGTTAAGCTGTTAAGCGTCTGCCTTTGGCTCAGGTCATGATCCCAGGGTCTTATGATCAAGTCCCGCATGGGCTCCTAGCTCAGCGGGGAGTCTGCTTCTCCCTCTGCCTACCGCTCCCCCGCCTGTGTGCGCTGTCTGACAAATAAATAAAATCTTTAAAAAAAAAAAAAAAAGAGTACTAGGGAATTAGTGGTGTGGTGGCATCTAAACCCTATAGATCAGGAGGCAGTTAAGACCTAATGCCAGAGCAATTTCATATTAAAAAACGTAAATCATTTTTATTG